GAGTCGAGTAGGCGTTTTGTCATAGGATGGCTCAGTATGTACTTGGCCATAGTGGTTTTCCCCGACCCAGGTTTCCCACTAATCCAGTAAATCTGCTCATTTGACTGTAGCCAGTCGCTGAAGTTGTCCCAAGGCCTGACAGAGTCTTTTTCACCTATACCTTGATTTTTCGCTTCACCGTACAAACCCTTCCATGAACCTTCAAGATCTGGTTCGCTTCTGTAGAAGATCCATTGTGAGGTACCCTCATGGCCTTCGGAGACTTGATTTCGGCGCTCATTCATACCAGAAAAGGTAAGACTGTTGATGAAAAGTGCCTTCTGTTCAGCCTTTTCCCGACTAAATTCCAATTTGGTCATGTGAGAGACGGTTTGCGATGAGAATGACTCAACCGCCTTCTCCATGTTCACGATGATATCATTGTGAGATTGCCCTATATCATTGTTTATCTGGCACTGCAATTCGACAGCTTTGAGAGATATCTGGTCTCTTGTGAGGTTGCTGTACTCAGAGATCAGCTTGGATGCTTGTGTTTCCCCACTGCCATTCTGCTGAATTAGGCGATGGACGTCTTCGTTCAAGGTGCGTTGCTTAGCCCCGATGGCATCAATCCTGTCACTATAACATCCTCGAGGTTAGACAGACGAGCAGATTCAATCCATTCGATCCTATTAGAATGTACCAAACTCGAACAAGCAGACCAGTCTGCATCTGTTTCTCAACAGCACACAACTGCTTTTCCAACCTCTCTAGACGCCGTTTTCTCCAAGCTACCTTCGACACAACTTTTAAGGTCCCAGCCAAATCACCCTTGGCCCTCTCGGATAGCAAAAGCTTAATTTCTTCCACCAGATCCCGGGCAACTGCATGGCATTTTGTCGCGTTGTCTTTGAGCTGCACCTCGTATTTTCGTGGGTTTACCGGCGTTTCGAACGCGATGATATGAGAGGCAACATCTCTGAGTGTGACAGCATGTTCAGCCAGAGGCGTCTCGAGGAATCCCCTGCTATACACATCTCTGACGAGGCGTATCGTCTCGTTGCCGAAGCTGATAATCTGGAAGATGTTGCAGGCTAAGCCCAAAGCTGCGATGGACTCCATGAAGACTGTAGAAAATGGCAGGACCATAAACTGATTGGGACACAAGGAGCCAAAGGCTTCAAAAGCTGTGACTTTCGTTTAGTTACTGGTAGACTTGGTGAAGGCGCCACGTACAGGTCGAGCCCGAATCAAAGTCCGGAGGATGACGAAGATCAAGCTGACAGCCCCGCGAAGCGGCTTAATCGCCAGCCGACCTTCGGGCAGAGAGTGCCTTGCCAAGAACACAGCCTGTCTGATGATGGCTAGCTTAATGCTGTGTGACAACCAAGAGGCCAATCATAGCGACTACATCATTTACCAATAGGGCATCAATAGGAAGACTGTAAGCGACTTATTGACGAGGAGGGCGCTGATATGCCAAGTTTCCTACCACCAAGTGACCAGCGAACTGTCCCATTCTGCTGGTGTGTGGCGTCGATTACTTAGGAGATTCTTCATCAGTGCCTTACGTACCTTCCAACGCTTCAAGCTCTGCAACGCAACTGTGAACCGTCTCCTTGCGCTTCTTTCGTAACATAGCCATAATGTTGGGTATTTGCTTTAGGAGCCCGTTTCTCTTTGTGCAAACAAGTCCGAATTGAATTTATTCCGTTATCTCTTTGGCCAGAAGATAGTGAAGGCAATTGGGGCTGTCCCCAAGACAATTCCATAGACTCGGTCACCCGTTGCGATAGGCCACGAGTTTTCATCGTCGCAATGACGAATAAAAGACCGGCTTGTGAATTTTCCTAATTCATCTCTTGGGGCGACTTCTGTTCTTAGCTGGACAGGTATATCCAAAGCAGCGCCATCATGAGTTCATGACCAGAATTCAAGTCAAACAAGCGGGGGATGTGAGGTTATTGCTGGGGTAAGTTTGGACGAGAAGGTAAATCAATGTCCGATAATCAAAGTGAGCAAGTGATAGTTTCAATGTGAGTTGAAACTTGAAGTAGAAACAGATTCCAGGAGTAAAGACCGTGTACTGGCGCTAAATGTATCATGACAGCCTGACTGGAGAAGGAACTTCTGGCCAGAGGAGGAACGAAAGAAGAGTAAAGGGGAACCAAAGGCGTCGCTGATACCTAATTTCATTTAAATTCTGTCTCACGTTGTTCTTGGCCTTACGCGCAGCTGCGCCAATCCATAGCTGCTTAGCTCTTGGTACTAAAGGTTTTCCCGCCGATAGTGTCTCTCGTCTCCCGCCACCACCGCTGCTGACCGCAGGTATTCGCTGGCAACAGTATGGCAGGTCAAGCAGTGACAACATGATAATTTCAGGACCTGACTGGAACCAAGTGAAAAAGGCGTGTCGGGCTGAGACATAACCGTGCAAGGCATATCAAGCCTCCATGCCGAACCCCGTGGCGTCTCGCAGCCATAGTCACGATCGTCAATGCATAAGTCTATCTGTTTCTACTGGAAGCATGTCGGCCTGCATTTGCTCACTTTTGGGATTGGCCCCGACAGCTGTGATCTGGCTGTGATCACTACCACACAACATATCGAGATAGGCTTGGTAATTCGTAGTTCAAAGGTTTCAACTGATTCATGATTACAGGACAAGCTCAGATTCGTACTCTGACCGGTTGAGGGATTCGCAGTGCATCCGAGGAGGACTTAGCCCCATCGCACCGAAGTAAGACAGCAGCCACAGTGTGTTACTTGAAGTTGACTTTGCGACTCCGTCTGTCTTCATTCGGTAAGCTCCCTGTGACACGTTACATACGAAGTCTTGGCGGAAGACGAATAAAAAGGGATGTCCAGGTAGAACTAAATCACACACTTCAATGGTACTCTCTTTCTAGGGTATGTCATGAATGAGAACTTCACTCGGACGATTCAGACAGCACTATCCTGAAATTGCCACCATTCACCGACCAAAACCTCGCCGATGATGCTGTACTTAATGACTAGATTGATGGCGTTGGCAGTGATGGGCAGCCTGCTGAGGTTCTGCGGCGCACAAGAAAGCACTGAGATTTCCGACACCCCAGCATCAATCGACTTTGTGAGAAGAACCTGGGCTCGAGGTATGGAGCGCTAGATGAATCGAGTATCCGTGACGAACACACAGACTCTAATACATCATGTAGCCCTGGTCATTGATGATTACCTCTATATCGATGGCGGCACAGTGTCTCAACGATCTCAAGGGACGTATCAAGGTCATAAGTCAGGTTTGTCTATGATATAATCTACAAAATTCGCGTAATGGAAAACTAAACATCTTCGTCCCTAAAAGTCACCAGTACACTATCTATACCGCTCTCACAGTCTTGGACACCGGCGAATGTGAAAATGAGGCAGATTCGGAAAGACGCGCCCATCGTACAGAGACAGGCGGTGTTTGCGGACCATTCTTCAAAATCGTTTTGGGTTTGGGGAGGCTTGAATGAGAACAAGACTCGGTCTCAAACAGAGCTTTGGAAGTTCACTGCCGATGGGCAAGGTGGCGGATCTTGGGCCATCGATGAAAACCTCAATCAGGGCCAGGCCGATTTCCACCGCTCTCATGGTGGAGCATTCACAAGCGCATCTAATTCGGCTTTCTACATCGGAGGTATGGAAGAAACTACAACCGCTATCAAACCGGACATGCCCAATGGAGGTTACATGTCAGGCTTTGTCTCCTTCAATTTCACATCTTCGTCGCAAGACCGGGTATGGAGAAACACTACCGAAGCACCGTACTCCAAGTCGAAAACTTTGTACGCTGCAAGTGCTCAATACATCCCGAAATTCGGATCGCAGGGCTTGATCATGATTTTAGGAGGAGCACACTACGATGCCGCAAGCACAAAGTCCAATGACAATGCCATGGATATTGTCTGGCTCATGGACCCTGTGACGAGGACTTGGTACTCACAGCAGACCACTGGTGACTCACCGCCTGCCCGCCGATGGTCTTGCACAGTGGGAGCGAAGAGTCTTAATGACACATACGAGATGTAGGCGAACGGTGCATTCCTTGGAGAGACGTGCTAACACCCTCCGCAGTTTCATTTTTGGTGGCCACGTCGATGGTCGGATTGGGTTTGGTGACATCTGGATCTTGAGTTTGCCAGGATTTGTGTGGGCACGGGCAGCTTACACAAAGACTCCGCGCGCTCAGATGGGATGCGTCGTGGCCGGCCGTCGTCAACTCATTACAGTTGGGGGGGTTGACCCGACTTTACTATCCTCGCAACTATTATCGACCAAGGACCCGCTAGATCAAGGCCTAGGAATATTTGACTTGACTAAACTGCAGTGGAAAACACAGTATGATCATGACGCCGCTGCGTACGACTCGCCGGATGTTATCAAGTCGTGGTATGACAACCCCGAGTAAGTGAGGTATGCTTGCAAAGAATGCTTCGGAGACAATACTAATAGACTAGCAGAAATCTTTCGAATGTACAGTATAACGAAGGCGTCGCAACTTTGTTCAATTCGTCATTTGGTCGTGACAGATCGAGTGATGCCAAAGACAACCACGTCAGCCCTTTGAGCCCTGCAGCAATGGGTGGTATCGTTGGGGGAAGCATTATAGTAGCTGTCTTACTGGGTGGCTTTGCATTCATGATACTGCGACGGCGAAAAGGACAGGGGCAACGTGGATCAAAGGCTAGGCCTTTTGACAATCCCGAGGATTCAAGAGCTGAACTCGGGATTGCCCAGTCAAGTAGTTCTTGGTCACATAATGGTGTGCCAGGTATGGCTTATGCGACTCCGGCTGCAGAGCTTCAAGCGCTCCAGTCGCGAGTTGAGCTTGATGGGCAAGATTCTCGTGGCAGCCGCGTAGAGCTCGATGCATCTGAGAAAAGGCGAAGCACAGAACAGACGATTATAAGCTGCAGCTAGGCGCGTGCTGATGGTTTCGCACTTGGGCTCTGTTTGTAATTGACGGGGGTCATCTTTTCTGAAGGCTTTCTCAACTATCTCTTGCCCTCCAAGCCTGGGATCGGCATATCTTCCTCCAGCTTTTCCCCATTGACAACCGGCATATCGGCAGCTGTAACCACAATGAATAACCTCGCAGTCACTCCGTCGCTTCTATTTCTCCAACCGTGAAGCGTGCCGCGCTGCACAATAACATCCCCACGCTTCAGAATCTGAGTCTCCCCACTATCGAGGAAAAGTTCCAGCTCTCCCTCCACCAGGACACCAGTGTCGATGCTTTCGGTTCGGTGAAGCGGCGCCTCCTGTCCGGGCAAGAAGTCGATGAATCGTGTGGTGAGGCCTCCAGGGTATGCGATACCCACGTTGTTGGGAAGTCTGGACTTGTAGAACTCCATATCGCTACCGTCGGCGAGAGGTGCGGGCAGGGAGGGCGTGGCGTAAGCGAGCCACAGGTCGGCACCCGGGCCGGCGGTCTTTTCGAGCTCTTGCGGGACGCTCTTGTCGATCACTGCCTGGCCGAAGGCATTGTGGGTTGTGACGATCCGCCGAGGGGCGGGGAGGGGTTCGTAGGATGGGGCCGCGTCGGGAGACATGTCTTGTTCTGGGTGGACAGGGTACGGAAAGGACACTGAGATGTGAAGCTGCGACTTTCTTTTCCAACGACGGACGAGGTTCCCCTTTATACTGGCTTGTCGGTAATGAGTAGATCTACAGGAGCTACAATGACCAGGGATTCCCGCAGGATGTGCGCTGTCGTTGGGGTTTTTGGGTCTGGGTCCCACGATTTCGAGATTACGTGGGTACTCGGCTGCGGGTTTCGGCCAGGATGTCATGCATCTAGTGCGATTGAGGAATGGTTCTTCGAATTGCATTTTCCGAACGTGCGAATCACGGCTGAATATCGCTGACCTGTTCTCATCTCGGCCCGACAGGATGGTAAGGGCGGTGCGTTTGCAGATTGCAAATGTTCATCTTCAACCTGTCAGCTTACCGCATCGTGAGATGTGCCGTTCTGCTTAGGCTATCTTCTAGGCGACACATCGCTGACTTCAATCTCCATGATTTGGATGTATCTGCTGTCAGCATCTAATTCAAAGAGCTTTGTTGATCATGGGCATGTATAGATGTGGTTAAATCAGAAGAAATGGGATTAACAAGCAACTGTCAGCTTGACGTTGTGGGAGGAGCATGACTGAGCAACGTTTGATTTTGCGAGCCTGGCAGATAACGAGAAGACACGGTTCCGTGCCATGGCAATTCCTGTATGTTCTGAGCATCACGGATTTGTCTTGAAGCTCAGGCGTACGGCTGTGGCTATCTTAGCGTCGAGATCGTCTCGAGCCCCGGGGGCCAATAATAGCCTCATGCCGATGCAAGTGCACGGCCTTTGATGTCCGAAAAATACTTATTAAAACATGCGTTAGTGTCAGCATCTGATATAATCATAGCCGGGGCCTAGATCTAGATCCGAAGTTGCCAGAGCACGCGTAGCATTCAAGACATCGATCAGTGACAACACGGCCAAACTCTTTGTTCTGCTCCAACAGAAGGGGTAAGACGTAAGACTGTAACGATTTGAAACGGTAGCTTCAGCTTTCTACTTGCACCAAGGTTAACGCTACAAGTGATTGATGATTTGAGCAACCAGGGTCTCATATGTCGGGTTGCCGCTGCAGTCTTCTCCTCTGCACCACCTGCTGACAAACTCCGTCTCCAACCAAAGCGATAGGCCTATTCTGTGGGCACAAAGGGGGGCGGGCGAGGATAGAGGTATGTAAAACCGGGCTGTGGTTGGGGCTGCCACCCGGGTCGCAACAACGGGGGTACTCCATTATAAGCTTCGAATGGGTACGGATTTCCCATTCCTTTTTGATTCATGTCGTCGTTGGCTCTAGGCGTTCCCGCAGGAATTGATGGGTGAATTCGCTTCTCTTTGGGCCACGGCCAGATACCCTCAAGTGGCACGTCTTCATAAATCGTGTTGAAATTGTCTTTCGGATTGAATAGACTGTATCCATAGACATGAAACCCCTCTGGGTTGTAGGCCCAGCTGAAGACAAGCTTAGAAGGCTTCAGATCGGTAAGGCGGAATCGAGCGAGTTTGGCCATCTGGCTGGCGCAAACGTGCAGATGAGCAGTCCACTTCATGTCGGTGTCCTTGAAAATGTAGTGGCGTGTATGCTTCCAATCTTCATAGTTAGGCTCCCCGGGACAGACATTCTGCGCGATGCAGCCTGTGCCTTTGATCTCTTGATCCGTGGAGAGATAGAAGCCTTCATGCATGAGCTGGCCAACATCTCGCGCTTGTACATACAGGTTTGCCTCCCACAGGAACGACTTTTGGGTCTCTGCCCATGATTCTTCAACTTGATTGACCCAGAGAAATCGTACGTTGAACTCGGGAATCATTGCGCAGTTCACGTGTGTGATTCTCAAGCTCTGGTTGACTGGAGGCCTTCCACAGTCATCATCCTTGTTGTTCTGATTGAGGGAACTGTCCATGCAAGCATCTTCGTCTTCTTTAGTGTTCGTGGGGTTGTGGCTGGAAAAGAAAATGCTATCAGGGTGAAAGTAAATGTCAGTCATATTGCTTGGTGAGGTCGGTGTGATCATGCCGGTGGAATAGGACGTTTCGTTCATTTCTTGCGACGAAAATGACATGGTAAAAAGAGTAGTGGGAGTTGAGGATGATGTAAAAGAAAAACTAAGCCACATAACGTAGGTGTTCTTCTGTGAGTTTTATAAATCCTCGCTTGAGGGCTAACACTGATATAATTAGAGAGAACCGCAAATTGGTCTGCTTGCCCACAAGGTTGCGGGACCGTTGGAGTGGACTATGAGCTACACAAGGGAAGTTCCTACACAGATTGGCCAACAACGAATTCACGTATCTCTTCCTCCATCAGAATGAGTCCTCGATGCGACGCGTTGCTAATTCCTTAGTACGCTGCCGATGTTTAAATGCCAGGGGGGAGGACATGTCTAGTTGTTTCACTATTAGCCATGTTTTTCGCAATCAAGTGACATTATCATTCTTTCTATCCAGGTGACTACACAGAGTTTCGTGTGACGCCAAAGTCGTAAGCATCCGCAAACTTTTCATCTTTCTCCACATGGAAATGGAATGGCTACCAGCCTGCACTATCAACCGAATCGACGTGGAAAGTTTTGGCTGCTTCCACTTTGTGCACGGTGGGAAGATGCAAATTCGACCCCGTCGGAACCCCTGCGGTCTGGCTTGTGATCCTGAACCAAGACCACAAATTGCTGCGCCGCTGGTCCTCTTGGATCGTCTGGAAGTTCCCCTCTGAGTAAAATGAGTTGTATCTGTAAACGAGCAGGCTCTCGCTGTTCATCATAATGCAGTGCGCTATGCGGGCTGTTGTTAAATCAGAGAGAAGAAATTCCGACAAAGGTCGAATGGACCGCGCCATGACGAAAAGATGGGCAGTCCACGCATGCTCTCCGCGAGAATGGCGGAAAATATAGCGCCGTGTATGACGGACTTGGCGATGTTTAAAGGATTCGGGAAACTTGTTCTCAAGCATCACCCCGGTATTGTTAACTTCGGTGATTGGGGAGATGCGAATGCCGTCTCGCATGAGGCGAGACATGCTTTGCGTCTGAATGTACAGCTCCGCGCTCCATTCGACATCTCCCCACGGGAGCCCCTTTGCAGACTCACAGTCGCTGTAGAACGAAATGCGGACGTTGTGAGGCGGGATCTCTGTAGCGCTTGACCTGGCGATTTTCTCTGGCTATGACTCGCATGAAAGCTGTGACTTGCTGGGATGATTGCCCATTTTGTAGATCTCTTATACAGTGAAAGTTATGCTGATCGGGAAAGGAACGAAAAGTGTAGCGTCAAATCGTAACAAAATAGAGAATTCCGGCTGCCGTGACCTCTGGGCATATATAATACAGAGGGAAATGCTGTGTTATTCAAGGCATCTCTGCAACTTGGCGTCTTACGAATCGCCATTTTCTATCAAGGTACGCGCAATCGATCATCCGTCCTCTGAGTCATATACAAAGTCCTACTTTTCGTTTTGCATAACAATATTGATAGCCACAACTGCGGAGATGACAATAGCCCAAGTAAAGAGAAAGAAAACAATCACAACGATATCTGATAGAGTACTATGACATGTATAATAGGTAGCGCGTTGGCCAGATAACGACCTTCTTGCTTTCGAAAAGATCCTTGGCTCGTTTGACTACCTATGAGCGAGAGGAGACTGGAAGAGCGACTCTGCCCAGCACAGTCAGTCTCAAATTTACCAGCAAATCGACAAATGTCGTCGAGGGATATACTGGTTTTCATCAACGCGATTGTGTATTGGAGGCTAGCAGTGAAAACGAGAAAGCTAATCGCAACCATGCCAACCTATGCCCGATCCTTGGTGTTCCCTGTGAGCCGTCTTCTGCTCTCTCTGTTTCTCCACCTAGAATTGTATTTGCTCTCGATCCAATTGGGAGTAATCAGGAAGACAGGTATCATACTCCGTCGAATCTGGAGTTAAACGTCCAGAGGCCTCTCCTTCAGAGTGGTCGTCGATGGTTTCTTTGCTGCTCGCCATATCTTCGTTGTCATCCTGCCCACTCTCTCTGCATTCTGCGCTTTTGGGCCAAGGCCACAACCCTTCTAGAGGCATGTCCTCAAGCAGCGTACTGAAATTCTCTTCAGGTTTGAAAGCGTCATAGTAGTAGACCGTAAGCCACTCCGGGTTCCAAGCGTAGCCGTGGGCTATGCGATCGGTCGTAAGGCCCTTCAGGCTAAACTCGGCCAGAGCCTCCATCTCATTTGATCCAACAAACACGTGAGCTGTCCATCCAGCTTCCCAATCTGCTAGAATGTAGCGACGGAGATGTTTCCAAGAGTGATCCCCAAAAGCTTGATGGGGTTGGCAGTTCCGGATGATGCAGCCTGATTGTGGCAGCTCGTTTGCTGGAGAGAGGTGGAACCCCTTCTTCATGTGGCTTGAAACTCGGGAGGCTTGCACGACCAAGCGCGCCTCCCATCGCAAGTTCTCCATAGACTCGTAAGATTCGCCGATACTGTCGTAGAAGATGAAATAAACATTGTACGGTGGTGTTGTAGTTGCATTTTCCTTAGTGACCGTCTCGGTCTGGACGCTGACGGAACAACCCATGTTGAAGTTGCGGTTAAGGCTTCTGCAAGTGGCTAGCGGCTGGAGGGTGATGCGTAGATGTTGAAGGATGAATGCTCTGTAGAGCCTCGATTTTATCTCTACATGCCCAGTTTGGTGCCCCTCGGCTATTTGAGTTTTACCTCTACGACTCAACACGGCACGCCCAGTGAGTGTCAAGTGACAGAGAACGAGTTTAAGCTACATTAAATTGCCTAAATTTTAATCCTTGTGATTGGAAGTTTTGCTCTACTTATTTTGAGTATTCGTCGCCCTCGACTTCCATCTCTCACCGTACCTGAAGAAGCCAGCCATCACCTTCCTTACCCTTCGCGCTGTCACCGCCCCAAAAGATGAGACTCTTCCCGCTTGCGGAGCCAGCGCCGAAGAAACCACGCGGACCCGGATGGGCCTTTCCCTCTGTCTTAACTTCCTCCGTTGGCACGAGCTCCACCTCGGCCCAGCTGAACTCGCCCGACTCTACGCGAGGCAGCTTGTCGCGGATCGCGTCCTTCACAGCTGCCGCAGTAAAGCCGTGGGTTGGAAGTTGTACTGCCCAAATATCGCTGTGGTAGTCCTTCTCGCCCGCTTTTTCTTCCTTGCCAAACATGTAAATGAGATAGTGGCGGCCAACTCCGGTGTCGATAGGCACCAGTGCGCCACCTTCACGGGGGCGAGGTCCAGGGACCAGAGGGTTGGTGGGGAAGTTGACCGTCTTCCAGACCAATGCGTCCGGCTTCTCGCGGTCCGTAGCGTTGGACTTGAGGTCCATGTAGTGGATAGCGCCACTCATATCGGAATCTGTGCCGATGGTGTACAGGACGTTGTCTACAAAGGCAGCTGCAGTAGGTGCTTCTGGGGCAGCTGGCAATTCCGTCCAAGCCAGTGTGTCGAAGTTGTACAGCCAGGTCTCCGTGCTGGCCTTCTGATTCGCGGCAGTACGCCCACCGTGGAGGACCAGAATATCTTGGGCGTGATCGAAGAAAATGTGATGATCAAATCTGGGTGTGAGCGTCTTGCCGATCTGGCTCGCTCCCTGGATTTTGGTCCACTTCAAGCTCTCCGAGTCCCACAGCCACAAGCACGTCTCCTCAATGGGCTTTCCGTTGGCATCAGCACCGCCGTGAATGATTGCAAATTGACCGCGAGCACACGCCGCGTGTTTCGTCCGTGGGGCAGGGATGTAAGTCTTGCCAGTCTCTACATCCTGCATCGCAAAGGCGGGGTAGCAGGCGTACGCCGCCACGGGCTCGCCGTTGGTCACGGCTGGAAGAGACAAGACGTGAAAATCGGTAGTGCACAATTGGCCATCGGCCGTCTCTCCGCCGAATATACAGGCCTTGTGATTGATGACGGTGACTGAGTGACGAGAGCGTGCCAGAGAGAGGCTGTGTTGTTTGTTAGGAGTGGTTATAACAATGGCAATGCTGAACTTACGAGGCATCATCGGTGGGAGTGGTGGCGATCTGAGAAAGAGAAACCTTCAAAGGCTGCGTCGGACGCGCGACGGCAACAGCAGCTCCTGCCTCGAGGCTGGTTGAGACGACCTGCTCAGCGACAACCGCCCCAGCTACTGCCTCTGCCATGGCTGTTGTATGTCGTGGTGGATTGAGTGGGTGAGTATTGGTGAATGTTTGGGGTTTCGGATGTTGTTTGTAGGTGATGAAGGCGGCTGAATTGAAAGTGAAGATTACGAATTCGGCAAGAATAAGGTAGGTAGATGTTATCAGCAGATGAAGTCGGACGAGTTTTGGCAGTGGGTGAGGCTGGGATGATCTGCGTCTGATTGTCAGGAACGACGGGCGAGAACGTTGAATGACGTAGCTCTGTCCGCGTAATTATGGTATGACGTCACGTGTCTGGGCCCAACACTCCTCCCTTGCGAGAAAAGAGCCCTCCTTTTGCGCGATTGTCTTTGAAAATCACAAAGAAAACGGTGGGATTCATCACTAAAGCGTTCAATTCAACCGTCGTTAGCCAACAGACGAACTCCGACAAGGATGGAGGCCGTTGTCGCGGGCCGAAGCGTGGTGTGTTGGCTGACTAGTCAGTTGCCCACCAATATGGCCAGGCTTTTGGGACGCTGCTCTGAGCCCTCAACCTGTAGGCAACTGAAAGCTCAGGCATTCAACAACATTTACAAGTTTTCAGCGTCCTCCTCTTTGCGGCGCTCATGCATTCAGTGCCATCTTAAGAACGTCAACCTCTAGCTGGCCCTGGGCCCCGCTCGAAACTCAATCGAGCAGGCGTCTAGATCCCGTTGCAATAGTCATCAAGAACGGGAATTCCAAGGCACCTGTCGTTTCCGGAAAGGTCGTTGGTAGAGGAGAAGCGGCGTCAGTTCGCATCATTGGGCACATTCGCCGGACTGCCACGGTCGACCGGAGCTCGCCAACTGGCTAAAGCGGGCGGGGCCCACACGTTTCGGGCAAGCCCCGGCCTCGGCCCCGGCCCCGATTGGGGTCCGGGGCCAGCTTGCGAACAAGAAAGAGGATGGCACACCAGATCCAGGGGCTTTATCTGCAGGCCAGGCTGAGACCCAAAGCTGAACAGAATCGTCGGCTGTTGCATCCATAGTTAATTGCGATGCTCCTTTAACAGGGGGGGGCAAGCAGAAGGCTGCGACCCCTGCGCGCTAAAAGACGAACTCCGATTGGCCTCTCACGGTCAACAGCTAGGTTGCGTGCACCAACAAACCAGCAGATTCCTGCAACTACATGGGGCTGAGACTGGGTTTTCCAGGATGAAGAGCAGCTGTGCCGCAATTTGGTGGCTATACAGTCCCATCTCTGCAGCTCTGCCGCATTCTTCGGCTCTCTCGAACATATTTTGACTCAACGCCCGCCTGTTGCTGAGGTTTCTGCACTTCAGACAATGCCCCTTTTGCATTGCTAGAAAAAGCAACATCCTGCGATGCGGCAGACCATCCACGAGTCCGAGGCCAGCATGACCGTCTCTACGGCCGGGTCACCGAAAGAAGTGGGCTTCTGGGAGAAGTGGACCATCCCGCTCTGTCTGATCATCACCACCGCTTTGAGTTCTGTCTTGATCGTTGCCCATTCTCTGAGGTGGACAGTGAACGGATCTTGGTACGAATCATCCTTCGCGACGATCACATCTAAGCGCGCAGCCATCCAGTCCGGGATTCAGCTCCTTGCGGCGCTCCTTGCTCTCATTCACACCTCAACAGTCGCCGTTCTCATTCAGCATGGCTCCAGACTGGCCTTCTTCAACTCGGGTGGTTCAACGACACAAAACCTGAAAGGATGGATGAACTTGGGTATTCCACGCTTACGATGGGATATCCGACTTCGGTTTCTACTGCCAATAATCGCATTTTCCGGCCTCGGTCTGATATCCTCAGCTCTGCGGGTTGGCGCAATGACGCCTGTTAGCAGCACCATTGTCGAGCAGGAGATCCTGCGAGTCCCTTCGTTCAAAAATACCACCCTGATCAAAGAATACCCTTCCGAGATTTCACGCGCAGGCCCATCCACCACAACAAAGCAAGGGCTTTTTACTTACTCCGTTGGAGTAAAACTGCTGGGTAGTCTCATTGCTTCAGGGTCGTCAGCAACAACCTCCGATGGATCGGTCCGTAGACACGCGAAAATCGACAACACCCAGTACATCTATGAAGGTCGCTCCTACGGTGTTGGATCATCAGTAGGCATTCAAGATACTGCCATCACCAACAGGACCTCAGCGGTAGACTACTCATTTCACGAGGATGGCTACTTGCCGCAAGTCCAGTGCTCCTACAACCGAAGCATGGACTTCGTCATCGGCCGAGAATTCCCTTCCAGGATATTCGGGGTTTCAGGATGGCTTCCCGACAGCGTCGGAAGTCAACAGTACTCCGAGTACGTCGGACACAGCACCGATGCCATCGTCGCGGTTGGTGTGGCACATAGCCCTGAGTCGATTCGTCGCTACGTTTCCATTGCAGCAGGCAAAAGCTACCTCGCCCTGAACGCTACCCAGTGCACCGTCGACTTCACACCTACTCGTTTCAACGTCTCTGTCGGAATTCGCGGCCGAAACATTACAGTCATTCCAGAAGGTCAGATCGACGACTTCGATTCGCAGCGCAACCTCACGCGGACTGTTGTGCGTCAATTCGAGCTCATTTCGAATGACTTGACAAACTTCTATGAGTCCATCCTAGGCAACGCATTCCTATCGAGTATCACCGCATGGAACATATCTTCCAACGAGAACGGCACTGTCCCAGAAGCCGAAGCAACGCTACGTGGACTGGAAAACGCCGTTACTGCAATGACAGAGTCGATATTGGCTGCATACGGAGCAGCGCAGCTGATGGTCGGAAACTTCTCCGAAGAAAGGGAAGCAAGTGTAACAATTGGAGTCTTTGTTATCGGAGAAATTGTCTACGTGGTTGCGATCGCCATTCTCAACGCACTTGTGCTCTTGGCTGTTGTGGTAGAGACTATCCGGACCAGGGGATGGAAGGGCCTGCCGCCTTTTGACTTTTCCGACCCTGAATGGTTGATCACAGCGTCATTCCGAGGTGGCGAGCTGTCTCACACATGGAACCGAGATGCTGAAGGAATCTTGGTGGCTCAAAGCACTATAAAGGGACCTGTTTCATCTTACACGCCCATAGATCAACGCGGCGACGAGGATCAACATCGTTTCGAAGTGATTTCTGAAGGAGAAGGCGGGCGCAGAGTTGCTTTGATGCTGCAAAGTCGCTGATTTGTACAAGCTATGTATTTGGTCCATTAGATGATCTATTTCCAACTAGCTTGTTCAGAAGCAGGCTGCAGTATCGATTATATATGTCTAATGTTGAACCTAACAGAAAACTCTTTGACATCGTATCCCTTAAGCTTGACAGTTCTTACATCGACTAAAGCCGAAATCCGGTATCGTTGGGTTCCGAGTCCTGCTGTGATAGAGTCATCAAACGAATCAGGCTTGAAACCCTCTGAGATCACGGCATGCCAGTGATCTTCCTCCTCTTCACGATTAATATGACGAAGGAATGCTTGAATCCCAATATCCGTTGTGTCTGATCTCGATGCGGATGCATCCAGTAGCAAGATTCTAGGCCTCCCACTGCTTTGGATATGTCTCCGGTCGCAGAGCATCCATAGCTCAAGTTGAGTCGGCTGAAGATTTACAACCAACTTCAAAGCCTGGACCTGTGTCGAGAATCGAGGTGCAAAAAGAAGCCGACTACAAATATCCCACGATGTCCTTGGTAAAATACGACTGATCTTGATACGCTTATCTATAGGTACGTGCACACTTTTGTGTCTCCCCCAAAGCGTGCTGTCGGGCCTGCGGTACGAAAGTTGGTCCTCAACTATGATGAATGAGGGCTGGTACTCTGTCAGATGGTCGAGCTTGTATGACATCAAAGCCATGGGCAAGTTGCAATCTCGCCGAAAAAGGTCTGGCTGGACCTTTTCGAGAAAGATGCCGCAACGGTGAGTTGAAGTGCCAATATCCAGGCGGAGAACGTATCGAATAATTCCTCCGTTATCCTCTTCTGGTAGCAATATAGGCTTGGGTACAATGGCGAGGCCTAAAATACCATGGGGACAAGGTCTCTGGATATCTTTGTCTGACGGGATCACAACCATGCAAAGATTCCTTCCCATAAAGCGAGGGCCTCTGCTGGTCAGTTCCATCCCAACATCATAATTTCGAAAGCGTGTAATTGCTTGCGTTTTTTCATGACCGGCGAAGTCCGCTGGAGATGACGCGAATGCCACTGAAGTTCGGGAGTGGAGGGGTCTGCGAGAATCCCATGCGAGTAATGAGGTATCGTCGTCCTTTTTGCAAATCTCCTCCTGTAGTCGTCGAAATGCTTTCGGACCTTCTCCGTACAGCATTGGCATGTTGATGTCGAAGATTCCTAATAACGAATATGCCACATCCTCCTTTCGTTTCGTGCTTCTTGCAGCCGCCCAAGCCATCCGCGTCGCTACGGGGATGTCCCACAGGGGTGTCTTGCCAAGCAGCACGTCGCAGAGAATTCCCGTGATGTCTGAGATGATCTCGACCAAGGATTCTTTCGTACCCAACAGATTCCAGTCCTGATCGTAAAACCGCACTTCAGCGGGAGCGAGCAATTCCTGAAGTGTCCAGCCTCTGGTAAACCATCGGCAGTTACGAAGGTGCTTCTCCAAAGATCGTGTGCGGGGCATGTCTGCCAAGTATGCGTAGCAGGCCTGCGCGTCATGGTAATATCTGAACATGGAATTGATCGATTCCGAAAGGTCCGCGCTGCTCGTTTTGTCAATGCAGCAGGTGTCTACCCAGGCATAGTCAACTCCACGAGCTCGAGCTAGGCGACATATTTCCTCGATTTTCTCGAAGCCCTTCATGTTCTGGGCGACATCGATGTCTTGAAAGTCTTGAAAGCTGACTTCCTCCTCATCCCAAGTATGAGATAGGATGACATAGTTGGGGATTTCTTCGTCAAAGACCTCTTCTATTTTCAGTGTTCTCACATCGATCAGCTTCATCATCGACGTTGACCATTGATGGAGAGCTGCAGCTGGAATCTAATTAGTACGCGTCAACAAGATCCTGGAGGTTGAAAGAGGCTGGAATTAATTTTGGGCCCCAAAATTGGAGATAAGAAATAGCCTAACCTCTTAGTCTGACTATTCTTACTGCATGTGTGAGCTGGCGTGCATGAAGTGCCGCATGACCACCACAAGGAAAGCCGGAGATAGGCCGAGATCCTTACCAAAACTAGTACTGCAATTTTATTCGTTCATTATTTAATACTGCTAGACACCGTCTTTGAGGGTATGCTTTTGCTGAGGCCCAATTTGATCCTGTAGCAAAGCCAGATATCAGATCTCATTCTGCCGCGTTCTTATGTACTGCCCCAGTTCAACCTGCCAGCCGATTGCCGTAATTCTTCGGCCACAGGTAGTCACAATACAGGTATGTAGCTGAAAAACGCCGCCATCGAGAAAACCCAATAAAAACAAAACTCGACTTGGTATTTATCGGGATGGAGACGATATGTCTTGATGTTGCTCCAATATTGCTCCTTCATGTAGCTACCTCAGTCTTGCCTCTTGTGACACAACGGCTCAACTACAACGCTTCTACTTCAATTTGTACCCCGACTGTTCTTAGACGATCAGCCAGAGGCTGTCCCAACGTTGCTGGCGTCAGAATCCCGCCTCCCAATTTGTGTGCGACACAATCCTCCCCAGAGTCGAGTAAAATCATAGCTGTCTCAACCGCCATCATGCCCGAAAACACGTAGGAGTCGCCGTTGTATCTCAACCTCGCCTGCACTCCTCTTTGGAGAAGAGGATTCCCTTGGAAATCCTGCGCATCTTCTTTCAGGTCTGCGATGGCCACGCCGCGATACTCAAAGAAATTCTTCTGTCTTTCTTGCTCACTCGGTCCAGAGCCTGGAGGTACGAGCAGCTTTATCAACCATTTAACGGGCGGAAGAATGGCCGGGAGAATGGTCATAACCCAAACAAGAAGCCAAAAAAGCCCAACCGTGCACTACAGACGGGTATCGCTGAACGCTCCTGAAGTCGAAATTCGGACCGTATGATGTGGATGTAAGGCCGCTATGTTCTGCCTGCTGCAGCAAACCCCATGTTTGTTGAACAATTGCTTGGTCATGCGTTCCCGTCATACCAAATCCGAGCGTACCAAGTTTAAGTCGCTCGATTATGTCTTTGCTGACGTTTCTGCTCTCATCAGCTTGGGGTCTCGCAGGACGGATAGGCGATAATGCCCAAGGCTTTCCGGCTTTCAGAATGTTTCTTAAGCCGTATGATGAGACAGAAGTTACTAAGCCATTCAATGTGCCACCGCTTGCTTGTACTCTCGAGTCATGGACTGATATTAGACCAGCCGATGTTGGGCAGTCAAATGTCTCCTTGACCTTTTCAACCATGAGGCACGTGAGAAGGTCGGCAGGCAGACTGCCGACTCCACACAAAGGTATCATCTTTGAACCGGCCATCAGTATTTAGACATCTTATCTGAGTGCGTGTCATGATTCTAGAGGCAGGTCTTACCATGGCCCCCGTTGACTTGGCAGTGTCTTCATAGGCTTTGATCAATTCCAGTACGGAAGGAGTCTCGCCGTCACTGGTATAATGTTAGAGAATATTAGTTTAAAGCCATAAAATGCTCTGAACCCAAAGTTAGAAGGGAAGAAAGAAGATGCTCTGAACTCACATATCAACATAATGAGTCCCGTTCTCGGCGCAGCTTTTGAACACCAAGACACCATGCTGGGGAAAAGGGCCCACCGTCGCAACCAAACATCGGGTCTGCATAGCCAGAGCGTCAAGCGATTAGGGTCGTGAATTCGACGGGAATGACGTCTTCAAGATTTAGGGATCAGCGTGAGTTCACCCCAAAAGACTTAATTTGGCGAATTGACGGTTCTCACCTGGGTTCTGAGAAGTCTTCAGTCTCAGTTCTTCGGCCAACTTAGTCAATTTCGCCCCAGAACGACCTGCGATGGCCCACTTCAGATCACGATCAATTTCCGCGAGGTGCATCGCAGCGAAGCGACCTGTAAATCCTGTTGCTCCGAGAAGAACAACATCGTAGTCGCGATCTGAATTCTTGGTAAAACGAGCCATGATGCCGGCATCGATCGAGTTCATTCCTCCATCTATGCAAAAGCGTTCGGAGGTCGTCTATACCATGGGTTGGCAGTATTTAAACGCATGAAGAAGAGCCACGTCTAGAAACAGACAGTTCCTCCGCAGACCGACTGAAGAATCCTTTGAAATCGTCGCACTCGGAGATATATAGCAATAGTAATTCATTGGTGTTCAGTCGGACGAATTCATGGCCCAGATCTGACTCCACAACTTTTCTCCGAGTCTGCTTCTGTGAAGTTCATCTGTCTATCAAGATGGCAGCGGCGGACAGACAGAGAGGGCCGTCCAAAGTACCTCCGCTCGTCTTTCCCTTTTGTTGGACTAGAAACCGTCGGACATTGAGCCAAATTCCGCTTATGGCGCGTTTCATTCGTCAAAAGTACCGAAGGATTCCCGTCGGTGCAACTGGTTCATCCGCCCATCCGTACGAAAGTGAACGCCCTTCAAACGAGTATTCGCAGCTGAAATAGACTACCAGAAGTCTGTAGGTGAGTAGATGGCATTGTGCACGAAGCGACGGCAATGATCATGACGATGGAATGGTGCAGCGATACAGACTTTTGAACAAAAAGCTCATAAAGTATAAGTCCCGGAGACAACTCCCTATGATAGCACCAATGAGTACAGCATGGTTCTGTCGCATGATGAAACCCTCGGAGTCGTCTCTGCTTTGCCGGCCGATGCCGGAAGCTCTCCGACAAAAACCCCGACGCCGGAACCGGATGAGACGGAGACCACGGCGATGCAACCAAGTGGCGTCACTCCGTTTGAGCTGAGAATCCGACTGCCGAGCCGACTGCCAGATCAGCACCGCTGAGCCACACTGCGGAAGACACGGGGGCCGTGGCGTCTTTTGCAAGCCAGATTTCCGGACATTCTCTCCGGTTACCACCGAAGTCGCTTCGGAATCACCATTGCCACTCTCAGGCAAAGTCAATTCCGTTCTCATACTCTTTAAACATGCCAGACGTATCAAGATAAGATCGGACCAAATAAACGTGAAGCGCTTAAAATTTCCCGGAGGCGAAACGATCATGTGCAGATTGCGGGGTCCCATCTCCAACCAAGTCGTATCCAAGAATTGCGTGCTTGACCCCCAAGATAGCAACATCGCGCAGCCACCATTTCTAATCGGCACCGTCCTTGAGGCCGCTTCATGCCACCATTCAAGTTGCTGACTTCGATATGAATGGCGTCATTTCCCCTCCATCCACAGGACCCGATACCTCCATCTTTCGTCTCATGTACCCCAAGAAGCCAATGGACTGTAATTTTGTAGCCATAGATCGGGGCCGCGTCGGCTGAATATTGTTTTCTTTGGACGGTCGGGCAGACAACGCAATCCAATCCCTGCCAGCATGCAATTCTTCTGGTTGAGTGCCCGTCATCGGATGAGCTCCGACAGTCATGCCTTTTGGAGGGGTAATCTATATAAGAGCAATCGGACACTTTCCATCAAGCCGCCCTTCTCATAGACAGTACAGCGTTGAGAACAAGTGCAATCATACGCATAATCAGACAAAATGGCACCTTCAGCAACATCGACGTCCACCGTGACGGACCCGGCTAGCTTGCCGGTGAACAACCTCCGCTTGTACGCTGACGGTTCTGGCGACTACAAGGAGCTGTCTCCTGTTGTTTACGACAAGGAGGCCGAGTCCAAGGGAGGAGATGGCCATGAGGGCGCCAAGGTTCGTTCTTTCGAGGACCCCATTTCAGCATTCAGCGACTGATCTGTATGATGTAGTATCCTCACTACCTCCCCACGTGGAACCCCGAGCAGAAATACCCCCCTCTGCAACCATTCCAGCATGTAGAACACGGAAAGAACGCAGACCCCAGTTTCCCCAACCTTCTCCCCAAGAGTGAGGCTCAGGTCACTGACCTGACGCCCACCATCGGTTCTGAGGTCAGGGGCATCCAGCTGAGCAAGCTCAGCGACGCCGGAAAGGACGAGTTGGCTCGCTACGTTGCCGAGCGCAAGGTCGTTGCTTTCCGCGGCCAGGACTTTGCCGACCTTCCCATCGACAAGGCCCTCGAGCTCGGCGGTTACTTCGGTCGCCATCACATCCACCCTACCTCTGGATCTCCTGAGGGCTTCCCTGAGATTCACCTAGTTCACCGCGCGGCAGGTGACCGATCAGCGGAGCAGTTCTTCGCCACCAGAACCAGCTCCATTGCCTGGCACTCCGATGTCTCTTATGAGGCCCAGCCTCCCGGTACCACCTTCCTGTACATCCTCGACAAGCCCGAGACTGGAGGCGACACTCTCTTCTGCGACGCCGTTGAGGCCTACAGGCGTCTGAGCCCGCTCTTCCAAGAGAGACTCCACGGCCTGCAGGCGGTGCACTCCGGTATCGAGCAGGTCGCTGCCTCTGTGAAGAAGGGCAGCATCAAGCGCCGCGAGCCTGTTGCCAACACCCACCCTCTTGTCCGCACACACCCGGCTACTGGCGAGAAGGCGCTCTACATCAACCCTCAGTGTAAGTCGATACTGAAGACGCCAAAATGCATATGCTGATTCAAAAATAGTCACCCGTGAGATTGTCGGTTTGAAGAAGGAAGAGTCCGACGCTCTTCTTAAGTTTTTGTACGAGCACATTGCTTGGGGCGCAGACTTCCACACCCGTGTCAAGTGGGAGGAAGGCACCGTTGTCGTTTGGGACAACAGAGTCACTCAGCACTCTGCGCTCGTTGACTGGAATAATGGCTCCCGAAGGCACCTTGCCAGAATCACTCCTCAGGCCGAGAGGCCATACGAGACCCCATTCAAGGGTTAGGTTTTGAGGATGAGTGAGGCTGCGTAAATAACAAGACCAGCGAGGTCATCAACGGACCACCTGAACCAAGAATGGTGGTGTGTCCGCAGTAAAATACTGCAACAATTATTATGGAGAGACTTGAATCATGATGAATGCCAATTTTACGATTTCTGATAATCTGACCCCCGACTTGTGACCGTCTTGAGTTCACCTGAGGAGTGTTTTCGTTCTTATTTTGCCACAACGGGCTCAACGATCTCAAGTTGAGAGAGTCACGGTGAAAGGGGTAACTCGAAGACCCTTTCCCATGCAGTCGGGTCGTCTGTCAGTGGCACAGGCCATGTTGCATACCCATTCCCCTGGGAACGACTGTTTCCAACATCGGAATAGCTTACTCTACACGACTTGCCGAACTGAAGCTATTTTCGAACTTTGTCTCCCTGCGCAAGCCACTGATAAGATCCAGACTTGCATCGAACCTTCGATGACATGGGCAGAAGACAAAGACTAAAGGCTAAGATAAGCCTGGGATAGTAGCAGCGTTGGCTGTACTTCGAGACGTCCGCGCTGCGCCAGGGTGGGCTGTCCATTTGGCTGTTGTCTGATTGGTCGGTTCTTCGACATCGCGCATATTTCTCTGTCGCAATCCCATGGCTAAGATCACGCAATGCCGTTCCCATCCCTTTTTCGTTAACAAAACGTGCCGGCTTGCATGCAACCCAAATCAAATGCGAAGAGCCAAGAGGTTGGGTCTGGATTATCCTCGTCTTTCGACGAACTATCCACAGGAGGCAATTCATTCGCCATCTCACCAAGACAGCACTAGCAGAATTTCCCCAGTCGGCATATGCGCCGTCCCACGAATGAGCCCCCCAATGGTCCCAGACGGGATTCCTTCCGCTTAACTGAGCCCTTCGTAAGCTTGTTTGTTAGTCTTCGGCTGCTCCATTACCTGTCACTGATCATTCCCGAAAGCTGGAACCACTCCGGATCCTACTCGACCCCCCCACGGGCCCGTTACGAGTCGTTGACCATTGATGCACAGCGCAATTCCGTGAAGCAATTGCACCATAGATAAGACGGCTCATTCGCTGAACAACTCGAATCGCTTATGGTGCGATCGCCCTGGATCATCGCGACACTGCGGCCAGTATTTTCTCCTCTGCACCCCTGCCATCCGACGTCAAGCCGGAGAGTTGAGATGAATTACGCGTAGAGACTAATGCCCAGATTGCCGGGTTCATGGAGGGCATCTATAAAGGTTCTTGCATCTCCGCGGAACGATACCAAACTGCCGGGATTGCGAGGTTGTGATGCATCTGTCGAGGCTCTAATAACATCTGCAAGGACTGACACAACTGTAACAATTCCCGTTGTTCAGAGTTGCCGGTCATTCAGCCATGGCTTCTACCAACACTGGAGGGCCCTTCAAGGGCCATCCCGAGGAGACCAAAGACGTTAGCACCTCCCAGTCGCAGGCCACGGACGCGTCAGTGTCATCGGTGAGGGAAGTGTCCGACAATGCGTACGGCTCAACGGATGAGCATGTTTTCTCCGACCCCAGTATCGCTGAATACTGGCGCAAGGTGTACGAGAAGGCGCAGTACGAGAACCGACACCGTTTCGATCCGAGTTACCAATGGTCGGCAGAGGAAGAGAAGAGGCTGGTCAGAAAGGTACGGTTGACTCACCTGTTGATTACGGGACAAAATGGATTCGAATTGATGCTAACTTGGATGTGTGTAGATCGACAAGCGCATCATGGTTTGGGCTTGGGTCATGTTTTGCGCCCTGGATCTCCATCGTCGTAATATCAACCGAGCGATTTCTGACAACATGGTATGTATGCCCATGGGAAGAGAATTGGATACGAATGCCAACTAACCTGTTCAAAAGCTTCCGGAACTCGGCATGAACACGAACGATTACAACTATGGCCAGACGGTTAGTTCACCCAAAACATTCTGGAACACAATTAGACTCACACTCGGGGGTAGATTTTCCTTCTGACGTTCCTCTCCGCGGAGTTGCCCAGTGGGCTCATCAGCAAGAAGCTCGGTGCCGACAGGTGGATCCCAACCATTATGGTGGGTTGGTCTATCACGGCTGGCTGCCAGGCTTTCTTGTCGAGTCGCGCTGGCTTCTATGCCATCAAAGCCCTTCTTGGCCTGTTGATGGGCGGTTTCATCCCGTGAGTGGCCGTTCGATATCGAGGATTGTTGCACATTGCTAACTCATCTTAGTGACATTGTCCTTTGGCTCACCTACTACTACAAGTCGAACGAACTCCCCCTCAGACTCGCCTGGTTCTGGACGGCGCTCAGCACCGTCAACATTGTGGGATCCTTGCTTGCCGCAGGTGTTCTCCAGATGCGAGGAATCGCAGGATGGTCTGGTTGGAGATGGCTGTATGTAAACCCATCATGCATGATGTGGATTCTCTGACTAACGGTGCAAAAGGTTCCTCTTGGAGGGAATTGTGACCCTGATCATCGGCATCTTCTCGTGGGGTCTCATGCCCCCTGGCCCCTGCCAAACTAAAAACTGGTTCCGGGGTAAGAATGGATGGTTTTCCGACCACGAAGAGTACATCATGGTCAACCGCCTGCTGCGGGACGACCCGAGCAAGGGTGACATGCACAACCGAGAAGCAGTCGGCCCCTCTCAGCTGTTCAAGGTCGTCAAGGACTGGGAGCAGTGGCCTCTATACCTAATCGGCTTGACCACATATATCCCGCCTTCCCCGCCGAGCAACTATCTCTCCTACATCCTTCGCAAGCTGGGATTCTCTGTTTTCCAAGCAAATCTTCTCGCTATTCCCTCGCAATTCCTGTTCGCCGTCAACCTACTCATTATCTCATGGGTCTCTGGAAAGTTCAAGGAGCGAGCCATTGTCTCGTCCATCTCTAACATTTGGATCTTCCCATGGCTCGTGGCGCTCGTGGCTCTACCTGCAAGCTCGAGCACCTGGATCAGATATGCTCTGTTGACTGGTCTGCTAAGTTACCCTTACTGCCACGCCATCTTGGTTGGATGGAACGCGAAGAACAGCAATGCGGTGCGAACGAGAGCTGTTAGCGCGGCGCTGTACAATATGTTCGTGCAGGCGGGCAACATTGCTGCATCCAACATCTACCGAGATGACGATCAACCTTTGTATCGCCGCGGAAACAAGATTCTTCTCGGAATCTGCTGCTTCAACATTGTGCTGTTCTACCTCGTCAAGGCATTTTACATCTGGCGGAACAAGGTTCGCGATCGGGCGTGGAATGCTTTGACGAAGGCGCAACAAGAGGACTACACCCTCAACACAACAGACGAGGGCCAGCAAAGACTCGATTTCAGATTCGCGCACTGAATATTGTTTGTTGTGGAGTTAGCTAGGCCAACCAATTGTTAGGAGGAGGCTCGACGACCTGTGGCTGTCAATATGGAGCGCATGAGTAGCGGCTATGGACCTGAACAGGATCGCATATGAGCTTAGCATGGATGAAACTAGACGTCAATATTTGATATTACAACAACCAATTCATTACCATAGACTCGGGGCAACTGGTGATAGGACGTCGATGTCATGTTTCGTGAGATAGGCCAGTTCAAGGAACCAACAAAGACATACATCGTGGACAAAAACGCTCAAACCACATAAGAGCCCGTGCATATCTTATGCAGGGGTTCCCTCTGAGGTGACACGAAGACCGATGGACGGTTTTAGTGATCAAAAGCTTTTCCTTACCAGCACGCAGTTGTGATCTATGTGATGCACCTAATTTGGCTGCTCACAAGCAGTATAGCAGCTGTGTAGGTTTCCATCGTCATTAGAAACGTTGCTGATAATCTGTTTGATGCGCTTGAAGTCGCATATTGGCGATCAGATTCTCGTGTGACGCCTCAGACGCGATCAAAGGCTAAGCTTATCGGGAATAGAGTCAATTGAAGGCAGGGTCCCTGGTGCCAGTAGCCTATCAAAACACGGTCTGAGAGACACTACCATTTCGGCACTGCAGGCGACACCATTCCGGGCGCTATCTCCCACCGTCGGAGGGATTGTGATCCTGGCGCGGTATGTAAAATGATCTGAATCCTCTCAGGGGCTTGGCCGCACCAAGGCACCAGTATTTGATGTTTTCTCTGCTGATGCACTTTTCCGCCGCCATGTCGTCAACATTGCGACTCTGAACATCACAATAAATGGTGGTTCAGGACTCTTACAGCCACGGCTGACACACAGAATCGACAAACAGCATCGCATTCACCCCGCCTACCCGTGATAGCAATGGGCAGCGTTCCTTGGGGAGGGCCAGCTTGGGCTGAGCTTGACGTTACCCGAGACTGCACCGCGTTCGGCGCCTACGCTGCTTGGGTCACGACAGACGACAACGAGCCGCCATTTCCCACTGTCGCGAGCTTCTGGCGTGCTGTTATTCCCGAGGTCAATTCAACGCAGCCAAACAATGCGCAAATCATCGATTGGCATGAGTGGGTTCGCTTGAACAGGACTACTCTGGCCCGTCAGGTGGCAGATATCTCGTCATGTCGGCCGGAGTTGTGCCAGGCCTTTGGCTCCGAGATTGACGGCGGCCTCGCTGGCTTTGGGGTGAGCACTTCACATTTGCCTCGTATGTTGATCATGCTAAACAGTAGCAGCTTCTCGCCTCCTACGGTCTCGAAACCGTATTGTTGACCATCTACTGCACATTTGCCCTGCTGCGGTATCTCAACAACCGAAAGCATAGGGCCAGCTCGCCCAACGAAACCCAGGAATCGCCTGAAGCTGTCAAGCCTGGCGTCGTCAGTCGCGTTAATGAGGCTTTGAGAGGTACAACATACGACCTCTTTACCGCCGCTGCATTCCTCTCCCTCGGGATCCAGGCTACTGTCATCTACAGCCAAGTCTCTCCAATTGCCTATCGTTATAACTCCTCCTTGCAGCTCATCGTGTCCGCCTTTGCGTTCTATCCGTTGGCAACGATGCTTCCGCTCATCCTCAACTCTGTTCGTCGGAGTTGGCTTAAGGGCGCCGTCCTCGTCGGGTTGTTCGTCATCCACACCGCAGCTTGGGTGTTGTGCACAAATAGCGCCCAAGTCGACTATTACCACAACTCCAACGTCATTGGTCTTTGCCCCCAAAACCATCCATCACAGGCTGTTGTATCAGCGGCCATGTTCACCATGGCTGCCATGGTATGGATGCCCCCGCTCTTTGGGCTGTGCCTCAGCGTCGTCCTATGCTTCTACAGATGCAACAATCGTAAGATGTGGCAGGCAAATTGGCTCAAAAAGGTTGCTAAGGGGGCTATGATTATGTACGCGTCCTTCAACTTCATTTGCATGTGGGGCGCTTGGATCATTCTCGTCGCGTTCTTCAGCGGCGCGTCATGGAAGTCAGAGGATGCTTGGAGTTTAGGACAGGCACTTGCTCTCACGCCATGGGTTCCAGTGCTGGTCGAACTCGTGTCCATCTTGTTTCGTAAGTTCAACTCTCTTGCAGTTCCACAGTCCTCGAGCTAACATGAGGTAGTTGGCACCGAGGTTGGCTTCGTTGGTCGTTTACCCCCGGAGTTCAAGGTCATCCGCAGTGAGAAGGCTTTGCATCGCCAAGAAGGGGATTCTTTCTTAGACGAAGCTGAGGTCCATGGCGGTAATGGGGCTTAATGTTCCTTGAAGCTAAAGGAAGTTCATAGAGCCCTCTTTCTAACACTTACAATCTGAGTCTCGATGTTGCAAGAACGGAAAAGTCTCACTTGTGTATACTTGGTGTCCTTTCGAGACCCGATTGATGAAGCTTGAGCACAGATTCAACTGCGGTAACAGCTGAGATCAGTAGTTGTTTCCAACCGAATCACCTCAGCTACGTGCGCCAAACCAGCGCCAGTGGCATCCAATGTCTCAATGGGTGGGCAAGTAACCGCATATCAAGTTCCTGGACCTTGAGTCATGGCCCTATCAGATTTCTTGCCTGGTTTTGTTCATGAAATTTTGTAGCGCAGGCTGGTTGGTTGAGTGGGTGTCACCCAAGAGTCGTTTTTATCACCACTAGAGTCGACTCAGATCAAGGAACACATTGCCGAACACCTTGAGCAACTAGCTTTGAGATTCGTTTGTGGCGATGAATCGACCGAAGATGATGAAAACGACGAAATCATGTCGCAAAGCGCTAGCGACAACATGTCTGAGCGTGGGTATAAAGTGCGCTTCTTGCAGGCTTTTGCCGATGAACAAATCGTCAATCTTGGTCAGACTCCGCAGCCACCGGAAATCACTGATCAGGATGATCTTCGTGATGCGTCTAAGGATGAGCCGTCAGGGCACGGATCGGTCAGAGCTTCTGGACCGGGCGAATCAGCACGCTAATAGCGTGTGCAGAAGCTGACGAGGTCGAATGTCACGCCCAATCACCATCACATCTTTGATTCCGGCTCACGTAACCGAAGAGGACGCTCAGGCACTGACTCAACTTTGAGATTTCCTGTCATTGAAGCGAGAATGTTCCCCAAGGATGACAGCTTCAAAGGTCGCGAGAAGGATCTTGCGAACCTGTATTAGATCCTTTCCGAGCCGGGTTGCGTGTATGTTCTCAGCGCGGAAGGTGGGATTGGAAAGACAGCTCTGACAGTCTAATTCACGTACCAATACGAGCAGTCATTCGAGTACATCTTTTGGGTTCAAGCTGAGACACTAATTAGTGCCTCCGAGACGTTCAATCAGATTGCCATGAGCCTCGCGTCGGCGGCCTCTGGAACGGATCAAGAGACCCTCACGAGGTTAGGACGGGAGTTTCTGAAGTCAACCAAAGCCCGGTGGCTGATGATTCTCGACAACGTGGATAAGTGGTATCATGCCGAATCTTTCGTACCAATGAAGACTTCTGTAACGATGGGAAGCATCCTAATCACAACCAGACACCAAGGCCTCACGGCGCCTTCTCGTCCTATTGACTATTACCGCCAGAACCTTGAGGAGCTTACAAATAGCGAGGGAAGGGACCTATTACTTCACGGTATTGCACAAGGACTCAATGGCTCCGATCATATTTCTAATTCATTCCACGCTGAAACTAGGCAGTGCACTGAGGAAGGACGCGGCCGTCGCGCGGTCAAAATTCCATCTTTCCATAATACTGACTGCACAAAACGGTGGAAAGCCTCCTGAAGAGGCACAAGCTCTGGCACGTGAGAGTAGAGACGTACTCTCGAGGCTTCTCGTCTACGACGACATTCAGGGCGTTAGAGAAGAAGACGCAAGTGCCCTGTTTGATCATCTTCAGCCGGTCTTTGGCGGACGCTGGACTGAAACTCGTCTGTTAAAGTACGTCCCTTAGAGGCCAGAATGAGGAACCATGGGCAGTTATCATAACTTTCAATTGATTTTTAAAAAAGCTACTTTTCATTTCTCCTGCATCCCATTTCCCTTTGGATGAGTCTTGCCGTCAATCGCAGTGATCGCCTAGATACAAAGCCGTCAAGCTCCTGCGACACCTCATAGTAAACATCACCTCCGCCAGTTGCCAACATCTGATGTAACCTGACACAAATAATTATCATCCGTCCGTACCTATTGAAAACGGCAGGCTTCTGAGCTCTGAGACACCCGTTCAGCATGGGTATCGGGGAACATGGATGCCTGCATTTACCCCGCAAGATAGCTCTCAATAACCTACCTCTTTTGAACGTTGCGGCTTATCTAGGACTAAGGGGTTTATCTCCTGTAAAATCCGCCAGGCAGCGGGAACATTCTACGTCTTCATGCATCCGCCTGCATCGGGCTTATCTACCAACTTTCCGGGGTAGCCGTTAAGTGGGCAAACTTCGCCAGTTCTTGTCCCCGCCCCCAGGTTTCATTGCATTCATCATCCCGAGATTCTAGTTGTAGGAAGGACCGGCGTTCAGCTTTGTACATATTTCAGAATACGTTTTGAGCGGCCCCGACCAACCTCGTCGGTATCTGCGTGGCAATGCATGATTTGGCGCAGATACCGCCAGGGTTCTTTTCAGGAGATGCGTGTGACAGAGGAGAGATGATAGGACTGTATCGGGATAATCTGATGCCGGAGGCTTGATGATTTCTGCCGAGAACATCTTGTTTTGTCAGGTATCGACGGCCTTCGAGAGGCAACTCCGTCACTAAGACCAGAACAGCTGACCCTAATCCAGCCAGCTCCGCTTTCTTTCGAAGTAATTCATTGAGGAGCGCTGTTCATTGCAGGGCTTCTGTTCCAATGGGTACTACTCGTCCTGGGGCTTGTCTGAAGCTCGGGGCCATGCATGTGTCTTTCAATTTGATGTGTCGGAGCCTTTGCTGATCAAAGTAGGCACGGTCATTGGCTGAGTTGGATTGAGGAATGCTCGCAGTTACGTACTACTTGAACCCTCAGTCTCCAACTCAAATTTACCATTTGCAGCCGTCGATTGAATCCGAATGTTATCAATATTGCCTGTCGTAGTTCTACCTGACGAAAAGCAACATCTCTCAGCGCGATATGGCGAATAGAGGAGTTTCTTGGGACACCTTGGTCCACAGCATTCAAGATCTGAAGGACCATGGAAGCCGAAGACTCCCAAAGATGTATCGAGGTACGCTTCCTGTCGTGTGGCTTATGCAGTCATCTGTTAACATTAGTTTTGAGATTACTTCAACGAGGGCGCTATGGATCTACTCACGTACGCCTTCCACATGAAGCTTTCTGGCTAATGAAGATTAATATCCCTAGTGTGAAGGAGAATGAGGAAGCTTATGACTACTACAAGATTCAACCTCGTGTCCTTGTCAATGTCGATAATGTCGATATATCCGGTGAGATTTTCGGTTTCAAAACAGCGTTGCCCTTGGGCTTCAGCCCTGCAGCCATGCATGGTCTAGCTCACCCAGACGGCGAGATTGCAACTTCGAGAGCTGCAGCAAAGATGGGAATCTGCATGGGTCTATCATCGTATGCAACCGCATCACTGGAGGATGTTATTTCTCAAGGTGCTGGGAATCCCTACGTAATGCAACTGTGCATTTTGAAGGATCGGTCGATTACCCTCCAAATCCTCCAACGAGCAGAAGGTGCGTTTATAAAGTCTTTTTCTGTTCGACACTCGCACAAGCTAATACAGTGACCACCAGCTGCTGGATACAAGGCGATTTTCCTTTCCGCCGACACTCCCTGCTTAGGCCGACGTTTGAACGAGTATCGAAACAACTTCAGTCTCCCGGACGGGATGTCCTGGCCAAACCTACTCTCTGATGGGAAAAGCGAGCTCCGTGCCTCCAGCGATCAGATTGGAAAAAGCGACGAGGTGCCGGCTGAGCCTAGCAAGCATGACTATGACCCGTCGGTTGACTGGGACAGTTTGATCCCTTGGCTGCGCCAGCACACGAAGCTGCAAATATGGGTCAAAGGAATATACGGGCCTGATGACGTCCGAGCCGCCATTAAGCATGGATTAGATGGCGTGGTAATCTCTAACCACGGTGGTCGACAGCTGGATGGAGTTCCGGCCTCAATTGACATTTTAAGACAGTGTGCCCCTATGGCGCGAGGAAAGATTCCAATCACTATGGACGGGGGTATTCGCCGAGGTACCGACATCTTCAAGGCTCTCGCTCTGGGTGCCTCGCACTGTTTCGTGGGCAGGATCCCCATATGGGGCCTTGCGGTTCGTGATCCATCAAATACCTTACACGCAGCAGTACGAAAACGTTCCTAACAGCTCATTCTCCAGTACGACGGCCAAGAGGGTGTCGAGCTAGCGCTGAAAATTCTCATGTATGAGTTCAAGGTGGCTATGTTGCTGGCCGGGTGAGTCGAAGCGTGTATGAGGAAAGCTGAAGACAGATGCTGACCGTTTCCGCAGTTGCAAAAGCGTCAAGGACATCACTCAAGATCACCTGGTGTACAAGAAGGCGGACGGGATATTGGCAAAGTTGTGAATGTCTGATTTTGCGGCAATGTGTAGTTCATTCCATTAGTTGTTATATTAAAGCATCATTCCATCATTCATTATACACTTGCTTTGATGGCTTAGCCGCGGAATAACCCAATGCTTTTCATCGTGGTATGGATTTGAATCTCGGTGTTCCTCTGGTCCTGCGTAATACACCTGGATTTGCGCGGTGTGTGTGACAAGGCCCAGATCCTCTTTCTGTCCTCCCAGCCAGTGCTGACAGGCAGCATCCAAAACAACAAAAGGTGCAACGAAATAGCCCACAGTCTTTCATATTCAATTCGGCACTTGATGAGATATGCTGTTGTTTGAGAAACGCATGTGTCAAATAACGATGCAACTGCGCTTTCTGTGTCGACACCCCAAGAAGCGGGCGCATCGGGATGTCGGAGTGAATGTCCTGGCTTTTGCGGGGAAACGGGTCCACACCCCGGACGTGGAGGCTTGCCTTTTCGGGCACCCAAAGAGTTTCGTTGTGCATTGCCAGATGAGACTACCGTTCCGGCCATGTTTTGAATGTTCATTAGGAAAGGATCCGAAAGAGCTCAGTCTGGGTATTGCCCTTCCCATTGAGGAGGTGCTTGGAATCCATTACATTTCATCGAGGACTCTATCCGCTTTCATCGCGCTCCACCAGAGAACCCGTTTGAACTTTTCCCTTCACGATCTCTGAGAACATTTGATGTTGTTTTTGAATAGACAGGACAGCATATATAATAGCCAGTCATTCTTAGGTTTATCACTTTGTTCAATCAAGCAGCAACCTCCTCATCCTCACACAGTTCGAAACTTCAAGTCTATTGCCATCATAACATCCCTCATCTCTATATCGTGGAACCCAACATTCACCATGCTCGCCCCTAAGCACAACGACATCACGGGTATTCTCGTTGCCCTCATTACACCTTTCAAGCCTGATGGGTCCGTCGACGAGACTGCCCTTGCAGAGCATGTGAACCGACAAATCGAAGCCGGCGTTCACGGCCTTGTCCCGGGGGGTAGTACCGGAGAATTTACCGCCCTTACGGTTCAGGAACGTAAGACCGTCATCGAGGTCTGTGTTAAAGCGGCTGCTGGTCGCGTTCCTGTTATTGCTGGAGCTGGCGACTTGACCACTACCGGCGCAATCGACCACGCAGTTCATGCTGCAAAGGTTGGCGCTAAGGCCGTCATGGTTGTGCCCCCTTTCTACGACCCTCCCAACCTCCAGCAGCTTCGCGGTTTGCTTCAGGAAATCCATAGCGCTAGTGGTCTCCCTATTGTGTACTACAATATCCCATCTGCCAGTGGTGTCAACCTTTCGGTGGAGGAAATTGCCGGCCTCTCGGAGGTTGGTGTTAAGTACATGAAGGACACCTCCGGCAATGCTCCGGCCCTCACCGAGCTTCTTCTCACTACCGGAGATCGCATTACGACTTTTAACGGCTGGGACACCCTGACATTCTACGGATTGGCGGCCGGAGCTACCGGATCTGTGTGGGGTGCGACCAACATCATTCCCGAGCTCTCTGTCGAGCTTTGGAATGCTCTTGCAGTTGAAAATGATATTCAAAAGGGTCGAGAGGTTTGGGCTAAGATTTGGCCCATTACCAAATTCCTTGAGTCACACCATTACTCATCGGCTGTTAAGACGGGCATGGAAGTGCGCGGTTGGAAGACGGGTGGGGTCAGGAAGCCGTTTGCTCTCCTGGAAGATAACCACAAGGCAGAGCTAGCTGCTCTGCTCAAGAAGGCTGGCGTTCCTTTTTAACTAGAATAGTCTGCATTGATGTCGAATAATGAGTATTAGGAATCATCAGTTATAGGCAGAACACACAAAACCTCATCACCTTTTCTTCATACAATAACTTACCATGTGATCAAATCAGGGAGTCCTTCCCGTGAACTCGGCATCCAGCTTGTTTTCCCCCGCCGATGTTTTCGATCAACGATATTTGTAACGATCAATTTCTGGATTTTTCAAGCTTATAGCTACCATAGTTCACAAGACGAACTTCTGAAGAAAGCACATCATACATCCAATTATTATTTATACAGAACATGGAATATCGGAGGCTTGCACACTACCTCCAAGGTCAATGCCTCCAATAGCTTGCCGCTTCGCCCACAGCGATGAGATGACCTCCATGGCTGGTCTCGACGTAAAGTAAACACCTCGGCCGTCTGTGATGGAAATGATGTGTCTAGCTCTATCCTGAAGGTCCGGTGAGATTGCCTCGCGAGCGCAGATGAATGCCGCCCACGCAAGACTCAAAGCAAAGTCATCGCTGTTGATCATTTCACAGATGCATGATTCTAGTTGTTCCATAGCTTGCCGCACAACGTCCTGGAGTATCATAGCACTGACATCGTGTACCTGACGGTAGAAGTAGATAATCAATGCTCGATGAATCGCCGAAATCATCGCCTGGTTCCGAGGATGGCAAACAAGGTTGGGACCTTTGGTACAGAATGACACGTCGCCGGTGAGAATCATCGATACTTCGGAGGACGAAGACCAAGTCCAGATTCTTTCCTCCAAAGTCTTGATGTGGTGTTTCAAGTCTGCCGCCAGCTTCGGGTCGCACCTAGCACGAGTCTCCAGACGGTTCTTTTCGTTTGCAAGAGATATCGTTTGCGATAATAATGTCATGAGTGACTCCGGAATGCCATGGATTCGAGAATGCAGAGTCTCCTTCCAGCGCCCTTGTACTTGGAGATGGATGTCACCATATCCAACTTTCGAGTTCTTCTCGACACCAGGGTCGAGTCCAATGTTTAGCAGATCCTCGCTGATCCGAAATGAACCAGATTCAGGAACCTGGGGGAAAGTCTCAGCTTGTTCGGAATCAATCGAGCCGTCATCTAGAGCATATATTCCCTCCGCAATGACGCGAAGGTATGTGTACACGTGGTGAAGTACGCGAATGAGTTCGGGGTTCTCCTCTGTCAAGCCTCGGACCCTGATCAGCCGCTCTGCATCAAGCAGAAAGACTCTTGCGGTTCGATTTCCTTGGTAGATCTTTCCAGCTGGTCAGCGTAAACCTCGAATTAGTCAGTCCACTGACATCTACTTACCGATATCATTGCCATTGCTATGAAGGCCATCAACAATTCTTTATACTTGGTCTGCTCTGAGTCGCTTGCCTCAGTCTCGACGGCGCTTCTCAGATGTTTCTGGGCTCTGTCCCTATGCTTGACTCCTAGATTATGCCAATAGTCCGATTGCGAATTTGAGTCAGACTTGTGAAGTTGAAAGGCGCTATGAGACAGAAGTGCGCAGAGGATTGCTGACCGAGTATGCGATGTGCCGCCGAGAAGAGACAGTTCTGCAAATGTCTCGAATGCGCACGGAAGAAAGAGGAGCTTCCATGGTGATTTCCACCTGCTGGATTGGATGCATGTTGGTGCGGACTCTATGTGAGTCTTGTAATAACGCAATAGCGCCTGGGCTTGTTCGGGCATGTCTGACCTTGCGTCGAGATTGATTGACAGAGGAGGTGATGGGACTGTGTCCCCGACTGCAGCTTGATTGGTAACATCAGTGTCCCTCCTAAGTGTGGACATGTCCTTTTCGGGGACGACCCCTTCCTCTGCAAGATAAAAATCTGAAATGGCCTCCAAATCAGGTGGGATGTCAGCCAAAAGATCAGAGATCGAGCCTGTAAAGGCTTCGGTAGAGCTAAGGACATCGTCCTGGCCCATGGAAAGGTCCACATTGTCAAGGAAAGACTGGAAGTCTAGATCCTGGTCTGGTGGTGACCAGTTAAACTCGATGAGATCACCAGGAAGCCCGATGGACTCCTCCGTTCCCTTGTCATCTGTGTCAGAGGCCGTATGATGTGTTGACCCAGATGAAGATGAACGGCTGGCAATTGAAGTCATATCACTCTCATCCATGCGAAATACTCCGAACGGGCCTTGAGCAACACTAAAATCGCTGTTGGTGTCACTTCTTTTGGAGGCCGAGTCTAAGTCGGCCAGAATGCTTCCTGCGGATTTCGAGCCGAGACTCCTGGACAGCCTGGCACACATTGCACGACGTTCCGCATCTAGAAAATGCGAATCAGAGTCAGCGGCATATAGGTACGAAGAGTGAACTGGCCAGACGTACCGGAAAAAAGCGGATAGCGGTAATCAGATGTTTCTGGGTCCCGAGGCTCCAATCTTCCAGTGGCGTCACCGTCTGCGATCCAGGACAAGCTTGGAGTATAGCCACCGCAGGTGACCCCTAGACGTATGCAGGCATTGCATTCTGGTTTGCCCTCGTCACATTTGGCATGACGGGCCCGGCAAGATCGGCATCCAGTAAATGTCCGAGTGTGCTCGGCCCGGTATCTGACTGGTTTAGGCATCTGTTGACAGTCTTCAGGGGGTTCGATTTTGTGGGCTTAGGGAACAAACTCCTCGCAGTGCGAATGGAATTATGCTTAGCTGAATCAGGCGCTAACACGTATCCGCGCGCAGATGAAATTGCACAATGGTGTCAATCGGGCGTGACGAAGTTCAGAGTTGACAAGAGCAGATTGCTCAGTTATAGGCATGTCTCCACGGGCTAGATTAATCGGTGGCGTCCTGAGAACCCCGCAGCGCCAAAAGTAGTGAGGCAGGGGAGTTGTGAGCAACGTCTTCCCAACAACAGATCGGGAAGGTTTCCACGGCATTGTTTTCGGAAACCCACACCACCTGGCAAAAGTCTTGGATAACGCCTGATAGCCTACTAAGCTCGATTGCAACAGCTTGCTAGAGAAGATCAAGCTGCATATCGAAGCATGTTCCCTTCCCATGCAGGGGTGTTGATACAACAGTTCCAGAAACAGAAGGGCACAATCGCGGGGTAACCCCGCGACTGAGACGCGATGCACCCACGATAGTAGAAATCGTCATTTCGATCAAGAGTGCGATTCAAAGTGATCAGCTCGCTGACTACATGAGCTCTCGAATGAGAAAGCGTTCACGATCTTGATCGAGTTTACCCGAGTGTCCATTTCTATGTAAGCTTCAAAGATAGCTTCCGAAGCTAATACAAATGAGCTTATCCCCCAAGACTCGGATTCGTGCCACTGCCAGCTGTCTTTTGCAAAGAACATTCCGTGCCTCTTTTTCTACTTCTATGTGCTGCGTAGACTACTTTCGTAATCGTCCAATATGTCTCCGACCCTATCTCTCGACTTGCAAGCCCCCAATGGGGTGAAGTACACTCAGCCCACGGGTCTGTTCATCAACAATGAATTTGTCGCATCCTCTAGCGGCCAGAGCATTGTCTCAATTGACCCTGCGTGAGCTCCACCATGCCGAAAGAAGATTCCGGTCATCATTGCTGATATCCAAATAGGACTGAGAAAGAAATCGCCAAGGTTCAGGCCGCGGACACGACCGACGTGGACAAAGCTGTCAGAGCGGCCTCGGCGGTCATGAAAAATGATTCTTGGAAGAAGCTATCTGCCTCCGACCGTGGTCTAAAGATGTCACGTCTTGCCGACCTCATCGAGCAAAAGCGAGAGCTCTTCGCTACTATTGATGCATGGGATAACGGTATGCCACATTCTCTTTCGATACGACGAGTGTACATACTCATATGCAGACAGGAAAGTCGTACAAGGAGGCGATCGAGGGTGACCTGGTTGAAGCCGTTGGTGTGGTACGCTACTACGCTGGCTGGGCAGACAAGTCGTTTGGCCAGACGATCAGCACTACCCACGAAAAGTTCGCGTACACCATCCGTCAGCCTATTGGTGTGGTAGCCCAGATCATCCCCTGGAACTACCCACTATGCATGGCCATCTGGAAGTTAGGCCCGGCCCTGGCTTGTGGTAATGCGATCGTCCTTAAACCCGCCGACCAGACTCCTCTGAGTGCTTTGGTTCTGGCTGAGCTTGTTAAGGAAGCTGGTTTCCCTCCAGGTGTCTTCAATGTTATCAACGGTGGAAGAGAGACTGGAACAGCCCTTGTTCAGCACCCTCTCGTTGATAAGGTTGCATTTACAGGCTCTACGGCTACTGCTGTGGATATTATGGGCAATGCGGCAAAAACGCTAAAGAACATTACCCTCGAGACAGGAGGCAAGTCACCTCTTCTTGTGTTTGAAGATGCTGAGTTGGACCAAGCCGTCAAATGGTCTCATTTCGGTATCATGTCCAACCAGGGACAGATTTGTACTGCGACTTCCCGTATTCTTGTTCAGGATGGAATTTACGACAGGTTTATCAAGAGCTTCTTGGACACAACAAAGATCGTGAGCAAACTGGGCAACCAGTGGGACACATCGACATACCAGGGACCCTTAGTGTCTAAAGCTCAATACGACCGCGTTCTCCAATATATCGACATCGGAAAGAAGGAGGGTGCCACTGTTGCTACTGGCGGGGAGCCCACCACCGTCGCCGGCGATAAGAGCGGAAAGGGCTTCTGGGTAGCCCCCACAGTGTTCACCGATGTGAAGCCTGCCATGCGCATCTTTCGAGAGGAAATCTTTGGCCCGGTTGTGGTTGTTCTTCGTTTTAAAACAGAAGAAGAGGCTGTTGCTTTGGCCAACGACACTACATACGGTCTCGGCGCTGCTGCATTTACGACCGACCTCGAGCGAGCCCACCGCGTTGCCCAGGAAATCGAAGCTGGTATGGTTTGGATCAATAGTAGTCAGGACTGTGACCCTAGGGTACCATTTGGAGGTGTCAAGCAGAGTGGTATTGGCAGGGAATTGGGGGAGGCCGGATTGGAAGCATACACGAACATCAAGGCTGTTCATGTGAATATGGGAAACAAGCTCTGATCGCTGCCATACACCTACATATTAAAGCTTGTTAGTCTTTCGCAGAAATCATGATCATCTACAAGCAGTCGGTTTCAAACAGTTTCGAGTCATTCCTCGTGAACCTGGGAAGAAACCATTGATGTAGACATTCACTTTTTTTTCCAAAGATTATGGTCATTTACGTACGTTTTCAGATAGATAAGTTCATAAGTTCTAATGAATGCCTCATCTTGTCGCTGAGTGCTGAGTAAAATGCCAGTCTTGTGTGGAATTAGTCGAAGGGTTTGCTTGTCAGAGCAATGCAGGGTTCATTCCTCTGCGCAAGTGACTAGCACGGTATTGTACACCCGTATTTGGCCTGGTTACCTAGAATGAAAGCAATTCCCCAATACTCCAACGTTTGCCTAATTGAAGTGTGATGGAAATACCTAGTACTATGCAGTGGCTGTACTGTTTCCATCGAGAATGGCAGACCCGTGCCCAGCTTTCTGGTAGAGATCTAACTTCGAGAAGGATTAATGGGCACGATTCTGATTTGTTTACGTGTACCCACACTCTTCAATCTACTATCTCAACGTTCTTCTCGTGATCCTGCTTGAAAAGCTTCCCAATCAGAGGGCCTGTGGGAGGATCTGACGTGGTATGTGACGCAAGTGGCATAGGAGAGAGACTAATGGAAACCTGGTCGAACTATCCGAGCGCTCTCCCTTTCCGGGGAAGCTTGCTTGTTTGAGCAATTTTGGACGTGAGACGTGCTATGCCACTTACACTTCTGGGAGGTCAAAGATCATTTAAATGGAATCTGAACCAAGACAACGTGTGGAATGTCTAAGCAAGGTGGCTAAATCATCCCGGAGCTGACAGACACATTTCGTCTTTTCGACCGATCCAAAAACAACTTCTTCAGTTACTTTTCTCGCCATTCCGCAACAATGAGCTCAACCACTGTCACTTCTACGACGATGCATATCCCCAGCATCAAGCCAAAAGAGGATTCGCACACCAAACATGGGCACGAACTCAAGAACAAAACTCCTCTTCAAGCCATGTCCCACGGAGACGTGGTTCTTGCTGGAATCCCACGACACCCTAATTTCCAGTCGCATCGGCAGTGGCAGCTTGAGCACATGGCAGCTGCTTTCAGGCACTGGTACCGAGAAGGCTACATTGAGGGCATGAGTGGTCATATCTCCGTTCGTGATCCAGAATTTCCCAACGCTTTTTGGACCAACCCGTTGGGTCGACACTTCGGTCTCCTAAAGGTCAGCGATATGATCCTTGTTGGTCTCGACGGGGCTGTCCTTGGAGGTAGTCGAGCACCGCCGAATACAGCCGGCTTCCTCATTCACGCCTCAGTGCATAAGGCCCGGCCGGATGCCCATGCTGTCTGCCATTCTCACAGTGTCCATGGAAAAGCTTGGTCCGTTTTTGGCAGACGACTCGAAATGCTGACCCAGGACGCTTGTAAGTTCCGCCGGGACGCACACAGCGTTTACAACAGCTACGGCGGGGTTGTACTGGGTAGCGAAGAGGGCGATCGTATCGCGGCTGCTCTAGGGCCGAATGGAAAAGGGTGCATTTTGAGAAATCATGGCATCCTGACAGTAGGGCAGACGGTTGACGAAGCCGCTTTTCTATTCACATCTATGGAGAGATCTTGCCAGGTCCAACTTTTAGCAGAAGCAGCAGCGGCAAATGGCCTACCGAAGGTTCTGATTACGGATGAAGAAGCCGACTTCAACTTCGATGTAGAGAGCGACCCAGAGATTTGCTACTGCGAGTTCCAGGTGTACTATGACCTGGAGGAGGAGTTATCCAAGGGAGATTTCAAGAAATAATTTTGGCCTTTTCGAATTTCTTGTGTGGGCAGACCGAGGCATGCAGGTTGCTATTTAGCAGAAATTGACACAGCAATGGAATCTCTTCTTTCTTTCGTGAACAACCATTCCGACACAAGCCTATCATGAATTATTAATTACAGTTTAGTCTGTGTCTGTTGCCTTTGTCGTGGTTGTCATGTAACGGCACGGCTGTCGTTGCTCAGTCGTGTAAGCTCGAAGGACGCGGTTATCTGAAGAAATATCAAGTTCTCCCTCAACACTTGACAGTCACGAACACTTTCCTGGGCATATGACCAATGTTTCTGCGCGTTGTGATATCTTAAGACACTCTACGGCGATTTGAAGCAATGTTTCATGAGCAGGGCAGCTAGTTCTCAAGGGGTGCGAGGCCGCAGGCGCGCTTCCAACGTCATCGGGATATCGGAATATTGGCGGACTTCCAGTTTAGAACGATACCAGCCCCCAGCCTTGTTAACATAAATTCAAATGCCCGTCATCGCATTGGCTGTGTGCTGGGCTTAAGCTATGTGAATGACAAGAGAGCTTGGTGAGCGGTGCTGGTACCCATGCTTATCTCTTGACTCGTGACCCCTAGCTCTTGCAGGAGGGCCATTACCCCCCGTTGACCCCAGTCCTCACCGGCAATCCTTATCCATGTCGCCCCATGGGGAAGTCTACTACGTGTGTGTAATCGAAGGTAGTAGTGAGCATTATCATCATCAGCTGATAGCACCGCCCAACACCCTGGCTCACCGTTATCTGATATCCATCCCCCTCTCTCCAGCTCGGTCTTCTAAGCTCACCGACATAGAAAGTATCCACGGACGCGTCTTGTCCAATCATTTGCCAATGGTCCGTACGGATGATTAGCTTCGCAAGTAGAAAATGTTGCCTATTGGGCCCCTCATCGAAATGTAGAGGCTCAGACTTTTCTGTATTGCTGCAGCCCAGAATTTCTACATCTAATTGTCCTTGTCCTCGTGTCTCCAGACCTTGTCTTGTTACTGTTGAAGAAATCTCAAAAATGTCATTACCTTCGGAGTCCTCGGACAAGAGAGATGTCGGCAAAATCGACGCTCCAGTGGACAACGAGGTGACCCTGGTCACCTCAGTAGCTCATGGAGAAGTAGACGAAGAACCAGGTCGTATTGTGGAAACGCAGCGCGGTCTCAAGTCACGTCATGCCCAAATGATAGCCCTCGGAGGCACCATCGGCACTGGTCTCTTTGTAGGGTCAGGGCAGGTTCTCCAAATGGGCGGGCCCTTGTTCCTATTGCTCGCGTATTCGACGGCTAACTTAGGGTCATTGAGGCCGGAAGCCGAGTCAAACTGATGGATCAGATAACGGCATGATCGGAAGCGAGACGGATCAGATAACTTGACTTGGCACGCCAGCTGAGAGTTAGCGTTAATTCCAACATCAACGTCTTCTGGTGGCGTCAACGCCACCAAATGAGAGGCGATGCGTGATATGTCTTGCTCGCTTACACAATTCTTGGCGCTCCATATATCTAAGCTGCACCTGTGAACAACTGTTGGCGTCTTTCATGGTCGAGAAGGCTGTTGGTGCGGTGGGTGTCCCTTATGCCCCCGCTGTTGGTCGAGACAAAAAGTTCACAACATGGTGGAGGTTCGGGCTTAGCAATAGATAACTAGGGCATTCGCGGATTGATGCCGATTTGCCTGCCCATTTAACTAATTCACGCCAGGGATGCGGCCGTTCCGGTCGCTTGGGAGAGCGGTATCGACTCATGCTGTTCGCGTAGCAAAATCTGCAGCTACTCCGTGAAGACATTGCCACAAAAGAGCCAAGACCAGGACTAGGGTGTGGTAAAGCGGGGGGAACACGAGGTCGTGGGAAAAAAGCTTTTGATTGCTAGAAATGCGGATCTGATAACTTTAAACGGGTCTAGACAAGGGACCGGGACAGCGCCGCAAAACAGACTCAGGCGGGATCATGTCGCATGGGACGAGGCACTAGCGGGCTGGGTATCTTGGATGCCTCTTGAGTGTTGTATCCACGGAGCTGACCACTTTCCCCGTAGAGTAGATGGCCAGACCAACAGAAGGACCTGATGAGGGCCTGATGGAATCAAGATCCTTTGAAAGAGTTGACCGGTTCGGCATCGGCGGGGCTTTCGGATGCCGTTTGCTTCCATGAAGTCCCAGAAGTGTGCAGTATATATGAAGGGAGTTTGTTATGGGAATCTTATTTTGTTCACCTCTTGATTTACCATCTTCCTGGATCATCTCTGCACTCCAGCTCCATTTTGACGGACTACTATCCTCCAACTGTCTTCTGGTTTGTACATTCTGTTCATCATGGGCTACGCCATCCTCCCCGCCTTGATTCAGGACATCGAGAAGGTCTTCGATGTCTACTTCAACGCCTTCAAGCACGATGAGATGGGTGAGATCATGGTAGAGATTCTTTTCCCAGGCGGCACAGACTCTGAAGAGTTTCGCAAAGCGCACAAAGAAGGCACTTTGGCCTGGTGGCATCACTGCGACTACCAGTACACCTACAAGTGCGTCGATACTGAGACAGGAGAGATCGTTGGCATGGCCCTTGGCGACATCTATCTCAAGGAGCGCAGCGAGGAGGAGCGCAGAAACCACGGTGCCACCTGGCTCGAAGGCAAGCAAAGGGAGCGGGCCGAGGCTATTCTCAACCCCCTGCACGATGTGAGAGAGAAGCTCTTCGGTGGACGCCGTTACATCTGTGAGTCACAACAACCTTAATGGTGATCTCTCTTGGCAATAAGCTGACCCTAAGGATCACAGATAGCCACATTATCGCCGTCGACCCCAAACACCAGGGCAGGAAGGTCGGTGCGCTCTGGTGTAAGTGGGGAATGGAACTTAGTGACAGCCTGGGAATCCCCCTGTACTTCGAATCATCACCTTCGACATACAAGCTTTACGAAAAGATGGGGTACGAGACCTTAGACGAGAAGGTCGTTCACAAGCCCGAGGTAACGGGGGCATCTGAGGACCATGTTGTGCCCCTGATGGCCAAGATGCCAGCTTGCGCTGGCGGCATGACGTTCAAGGAGTGGCGCGCGGCGAGCTACCCTCCTTTCAGTGAAGTGAAGAGGCTGCCCGCCACGCCCGTCGTAGATGCTGTAACGGCTGAGAAGAAGCCTGGAAGCGGTACTGTGGCCATCGAGGTGCAGGTGCAGGAGGTGCAGGTCTAGTTCTCACGTGTTACTTATGGCGTTCTTGTTTTGGGCAACAGTACATGTACATGCAATTCGGACCTCCGATGGTTCCCCTGTAGCTACTATTTGCGACTAGCACTATGCTTCTTTCCAAAAGTCCCTTTCCCCGGTGTTCTGGAGAATGAAAGAAAAGACACGTCTGGTTGTGTTCGCGGTCGGTTGGTTCAGTGACTCGCCACGCTGATGGCCCATTTCGGTGCTCGGCACGACAATTAAGGTGAGCTCCAGGGTCCAGGACAGGGGCTTCAGGTCGCCAAGCTGTTCGGTTAACGGAACTCTCGGTTACCGCTGGTTGGTGGCCTGGTTCATCACGCCCCGTTGCGCCGATTACAGGTCCGGAAATGCTTGTGAAAGGTGACTTACCTTTCGCTCATATTATGGCCTAAGTGACCGTGTACAACTTTTTACTGAACCAAGCTGAGCGGAAAGACACAATCTTTGCATGGGCCGAGGAATGAGTGCTCTGTACGTAATCGAGATGAGAGACATCAGGCATACTGACGGAGTCCTACTCGTATTATGCGCTAGTCCGCATCATGGCACTGGAATCCCGTCCAGCTCAATCAGCTGGGTCCCTCCCAGTTCTTCTCCATTTTGCTCACCCTGTGAAAATTTACGAGGTTTCTTTTTCGACCGAAAGATCCCGCGATGATCCCACACAGCGTGAAGAGACGTGATGCTCGTTCTTGCAGGGATTAACCCGAGGCCGAAGCGAAGCGGTCGAAATTCCGGGATCTAAAGCCGTTCAGGGCGACTCTCTCAGCGCTAGCAATATACGGCCATCAGAGACCCTTCGGCCGAAGCGGCATCGGTCAATTCGACACCGAATCTACCACCGTCGGACAGTGCCTTTCATGGTACGTTCTTCGGGGTCTTATCAGATCCATCTGATAAGTTTTAGTGATTTCCGTCCCATCGGCTGCTTGCCGTCATGCCCTCCCATTCTTCATTCTCTTTCGCGCTTCGTCCTCGTCCACCGGAAATTAGCTCATTGGCCGTAAATCCCAACTGCAACTGCCGCTAACTTCAAAAGATATTTACTTTCTCGGAATTGCAACCGCGCAAATGCCCGCAATTTACAAGAAGGCGAAGAAAGTCCTTCTTTTCGTGAGACTTATCGGCTACTCCCTGCGCCTCTTTGCGGATTTCTTTGCGCGTGCCTACACGACTAAGAAGATCGCCTCCAACACAGCATCCAAGGATGCAACCACGGAAACCATCAACATCGTTATTGTCGGCGCATCATTCGCAGGATATCATGCCGCCCGGCTCATTGCATCGTCGCTCCCAACGGATGGCCCTTATCGCCTGATCATCATTGAGCCAAACAGCCACTGGCAGTTCACGTGGACTCTGCCACGATTCTGCGTAGTCGAGGGCCATGAGGCAAAGACTTTTATTCCCTACGGCCCCTATCTCCCTGCCGAATCTTCCTCGATTGTGCGATGGATTCATGACCGGGTATCAACCATCAGTGAGAAGATAGTCACGATACAAGGAACCGGCGAGGAGATTCTTTACTCTCACATGGTTATTGCTACCGGGTCAGGGGTCGGCATGTCATTGCCTTCAAGAGTTGGTTCGACGGATAAAAGCCAAGGCGTCAAGCTTTTGCAAGAGTTCCAGCAGCGCATCAAGACTGCAAAGCATCTGGTCGTGGTTGGTGGCGGTGCTGCCGGCGTTGAACTTACTACAGACGCAAAGGATCAATATCCTGAGAAGAGCGTGACTCTGGTTCATTCAAGGGATGCTGTCATGAACCGTTTTGGCCCTGAACTTCAGGCCGGGGCTCGCAAAGGTCTGGAAGATCTCGGTGTTCAAGTCATCCTAGGCGAGCGCACAACCACTGATGCCCCAGTCGATGGGTTCGTTACCCTTCGATCTGGTCGAAAGCTCGAGTGTGACTTCTTGGTAAGTTCCGCCACCGAGAGCTACCTGGGCTGTAGCCATTTTTCTGACGTTTCTTAGGTCAACGCCATTGGCCAGCAACCATCCTCTCACTTGGTGAGGGAGCTCGCGCCCGATGCCATCGCCAAATCAGGGCGCATCAAGGTCAAGCCGACAATGCAGATTAACGTAGACTCACTTCCCAACATCTATGTCTGTGGTGATGTTGCTGAAACAGGAGTCACGAACCCGAACGCCCGTTCAGCTATGAAGCAGGCCATGTTTGCCGCGGATAATCTTGTACTTTCTCTTCAAGGGAAGAAACCATCATATCTCTATCATCCTGCTTGGGCTGATGCAGTGATCAAGTTGACCTTAGGCCTGGTACGTTTTGATAGCTACAAGCATAACAATGCTTCACCGCTGACCCAAACAAAGCACAAATCCATTACCGCTTTCGGCAGCGGTGACACTGAACTATTGATCAATGGAAAGGAGAAGGAAGTAACCTTGATGATCAAACGAACGTGGCAACATATGGGGGCTACCCCATACGAAGACAAGGAAAGCAATCCGAGTCGCGCAAAGGAGCCCGCTGCGGACAAAGCTTTGGAACTGAAGAATGAAGTTGTCTAGGCTATCTGTGTGGAGAGCTCGTGCTTTGAAGGGAATCTAGACCGGCACAGCGAAGAAAAAAGTCAACACGATTAAATCACCGTCAGTTCCATTTGTAAGTGTCTGGTTATACAACTTTCCCCAGTTTCCGAATAGAAAGGTTACTCCCATGTCGTGGCCCCGGTGCATCATCTTGTCCGTCTCCGCCTTATAGCGGGGGCACTCGAGCTCGTTGATCTCCATGCCGCTTGATCTTGGAGTTAGACCATCTGCTCTATGGAGAAACTAGGGGTTGAATAAGCCTACTTTAACTTCGTTTCGTTGGATTTGGACGTGTAAGAGTGCCTTGTTGTCATATGGCTCCCTTGATCTCAGTAAGCAGCCGTTTCCGTGTAATTACATCCTGAAGCCAGATCCGACACTCCGCCGCGTTCGCTTCGGGCTTGTTTCGGGCCAATGAACTTACATCTCGGCTAGCGGAATCAAAATTGTAGATCTAATTGCGCCAATACAAGCTCCGCTTATTTACCAATGCAACCGTACCTTTCCTTGCAACATCCGCCAGCGTGACAGCGTTCATATGCCGAACATGACCAGGATCATACACTTGCGTGAGCTTCCAAATATTGACTGTAAATAAGTCTCATCGCGCATTTAAAGAACTTGGACGCTTGAATACGAGAAGAAAGCATCCGACAGAGGGTGCTAACGGCCTGGGTGTCCTGTGGGACTTACGCACGCATCCCTCAAACAAAGGTGGAACAGCCCGGGCGAAAGCGCGCGTTCTGAACTTGATATTCACAACAACAGAAGCTTCTCTATGGTAAACAAAGTCAGGAGCTGAACGGCAGACAGCATGTATGCCAAGGCCCAGACTTGAGGTTACGATCAAGGACTGGGACAAAGACATGAGTTTATCAATAACCGAAGGCGCCGAAGAACTAGGAATCATTATCAAGGCCACACCATCTGGTTTGACACCTTTGGAAGATGGATTAGTTAGTGACAGAGTAACACTAGTAGAGCTATCAATAGCTCTTCGGTGGGTATGCGGTGTTCTCGTAAGCGTTTTGCGTAATGGCAACGTCTTCAGACTAACGACCCCTAAGATCCTTTGCATCGTCTGTTACTTCGTCAGCTCATGACTAGGACGCCAACTCGCTATCTATCGAACCAATGCTTCGTTTCAATCAAAACTTTTCTTTTGAAGCCTCAACGGTGCTGACTTTTGTCAAGGTTCTTATACAACACGGGCAAACGATCTATCCAGGTGACTTGCCCACTTTCGGCTTCGGAGATAGCATCGTCAACCTGATATAAAGTTCCTACATGGATTCGCCTTTGAGCACCTTATGAACGTTTTCCATGTCCTGCATTTTACACTCGAGGTGTGTCCCTCGGTATACTCCACCCTTGTTCTATCAAAGTCGCTCTTTCCACTTTTCCAAGCCATATGGCGCGTCTCGAGGATCTCCCGTACGAGCTTTGGTTGATCATTATGAAAGGACTAGATCCTTTGTCGACCATCCATTTCGCTCAAGTGTGCCCACGAGGCTACGCAGTGCTGTGCGGATTACCCCAGAAACAGCGATATGATGAAATCGCACGAAAGATTGGCCACAAGAACATGGGTCTTATTCAGGCACAAGATGCATGCCAAGATACCGTCGGTAGATCATTCAAATACACAGGAAAATACGGAACACGCGACGAACGCGACGAACGCGACGAAGGCATTCAGCTGGCATTATCACAATTGAGGTCGTGTATCGCCGGGGAAGTTCCACGCCACGGCAAAGGATGGTTACTGGCCTACTTGGAGGACTCAAAGAAGGTGGACAATTTCAATGCCACTATCACGGGGTGCAACTCCTTCATTAAACTTGTAGATCGGCGACTACTTGCGTTAGGGAAGCAATCTGTTCCGTCTGCACTTCGGAAGAGATTTCTTGTTGCCCTGGTGGTTTTGAGAAGCCTCAACGGCGCCCAATGTGAGCTAATGGCCCAGCTAGCCGAAGAGTTTGGTATCTGGGCATGCGAAGGGTTCAAGTACCTGGTCTACGCTTATCCGAGTCGGCAAGCTGCCTTGACGCAACTTTTTCGCTTCATGGGTCTCCGGTATGGTCACCTTACGTCCGAAGAATACTGTCTTCCATGTTCCAGTCTCATGAACGGTGCCGGTGAGCCGGCTATGGACGCAAACTGAGACTGCGCGCAGTTCAATCTTCTCTGGCGTGGTCCCCAGCAGACAGGTTTACAGTGGGATCCGCTTATGTTCACCTCGCCGACCTTGTCCCCCATCGACTTTCTACCTCTAAGCTTTTCTGCAAGACGATCGGCAAACTTGGAAAATAGGACGGTCTTTTATCTTTCCACGTTGTAGCAGCTGCGATAACCATGCGGTGACATATACTGTCCAAATTGTAACGGGATCGTGGAGGGTTAGGGACGGACAACAATGAACAGACAAAATATGAATCACTGCCTCGTACTCGCAATGAATGGATTTCTTCCTATATACAAGTAGCAGACACGGATGTGTTCAACTCCAACCACTTATCTTCAGGCAGCTGCAGGACAAGTCGTGATGGTGTAGGAGAAACACGTTCTCCAGACGCGCACGAGCAGAATTCCTTGTTAAAGTGGTTGTCGCTCGTTTCACAGCCGAGAGCTGGGAACGTACAGCCTGGCTTCTCAATACCGTGGGCAGCGTGTTAATCTAAGAAAACGTCTGCGAGATAAACTTAGCTGTGATCATCGATACACAACTTCTCGATACAATTGTAGCATGGCTTGCCCCTCTCTTTCGAGCAAGAGCACCTGTCGCAAACCTCGTGGAGGTTGAATTCTCGCAAAGCTTCCTTCCCTTGTTCCGTATTGTAGAGAAAGTCCACGCAGGCGTCACACCGCATCTTCCAGAATGTAGAAGGGTTGGTCTTCCAGAGCATATGCTGCTTGTCGGGGAACTTGTGACGCGGCTTGACAGTAAAGCAGGCATAGCACGCAAACCTCGGGATGGAGGAAGGATCGAAATCAGCGTCTATGCGAAACCAGTCGACTCCGGGTTCCCGCCGCCTAACGAATTGAAAGCGCTTGTGAAGAGGTACCCACTTCGTCTTTATGGTGTCATTCATATGACGATTGGTCTGAAGAAGGTGTATCGCGTCGATCATGTCGATGTTTTGGACAACCAACTCGAGCACGCCGGCGGGAAGTCTTTGGATCGGCGGACAGGAAGAGTTGGAGGCATCGGTACAGACCGTGGACTCTATGACTCCACCAGGAACTCTTGCTGACTGGTCGATCTCCTCCGTGGACTTCGTTACGTCTGGTTTGCCGGTTGTCATAAGCGGGTAGACTTCATGTTGGAGACGGCATCGCATCGATTCAGTTTGCATACGACCACATTTGTGGCAGAGACAGAAGAACTCTCCATCTTTTCTGACTGGTTGAAGGTGCTCATATAGCCTTCCTTCGATGGCGCATGTCCAACATCGCCGCAGGCCCAAGCGGCTCATCTTGGCTCCCCTCTTGTCTTGCTTGCTCTTGCGCATTCGGTCTCCAAAGGCCTCTTTCGGGAGAAATTGCTGACAGCCAAAGCATGCCCATTTTTTGGTCTTGCCAACATAGAGACCCAGGTCAACTTCTCCGATGAACCTGTTCTGGACCGACCGGGGCAACAGGGTTCTGGGGTTGAGGTTTTGGTGGAAGAACTTGTTGGTGACGGACATTCTCAGGACGTCTCGGTATTGAAGGTGGGAGGATATGAGGCAATGAACATCATGTGGCAGGTCCTGAAGTTGGCAGGACGGAGCTTCGTTATTGCAGCAGTCGTCGAGGTCCGTCCGTTCCGCTTCCATTCGTCGATACACATCTATCGATGGGTTGGATACAGTCTCTACCATGATGATGATTGTTGGAAATGACCTGATTGGATATTATTGCTGTCTTCGTTTCTGGGAGACAGCGGGTTCTGTCGATCTACCAATGGCGCATCCAGATACTAAGATGTCGAGGACTCAAGGGCGTCGTGCAGCAGCCATCCGAACAACTTCCTGACTCTTTGGCTGCCAGTAGTCCTCTGTATTTTGATGCAGGTTGATTTCAACTCAAATATGACTAGAATCTTCCATGAGTCAAATCTTACGCGCCCTGGCATGCACATCTCGGCACTGCACCAACTCCCCTCGCTTCTGCCTATTCGTCCCACCTTTCTTGACCGTTCTCATTTGAGGAGAGCGGCCGGGCGTCGGGCGAAGTCTGAATGCAATGTCCATTTGAGGTGCAAGTCAATTGGCTAAAAATACGGTTCCTCCTCTGAATCAGTCATCCAAGAAGGGGCACATCAAACTACCGACCGCACGACCGACGAATCAGCCCCACCCGGCGCCGGCAACCGATCAAGAGCGGGCCCAACTGTTCCGGCAAGACTCCCGAGGCTCTCGGTCCCTCGGAGCTCTGACCTCGTTCCTTTCTTCTGCTGTCAATCCCTCACAAACACGTCCCGGGATGCAACGCTGAATTGAATACCCCAAGCCTCGGCAGCCCCTGACGGCGCATTGCGGGGTCACGGCCTCCCACCTTCCCCCGTAAACCAGATTTCCCCAAAACAGTCGACACCAATATCTCCTTCCTTTTCAAACCTAGACATATACCACCAATCGTCTGTCATAAGTAATCTATCCTTCGCAAAGCCAAGAATCAGCCGCCAGCCTCAACTACCGACCACCGTTGCCGACAATCAGGGACGGGTGGCACCCACCAGCAAATCGCAACGTTCGCCCTAAATAGCCGCGCAGCCACTGGGATGCTATGCAACGCCAACTTTGATGTGCCCCCCTTCATTTGCGTCCGAATCCGCGTACTGTGTATCCTCGTCTTGGAAAGTGACGATGGCCGAATATCAGGGCACATCTAGACCTTCCAATCTCGTTCCTTCAGTTGAGCCGAGGCCGGTGATTTGGCTAATTCGGCGTTGATCCTCCGTGACAACTTGGCAAATCTTCAAGGAGAATACTCGT